TTAGGATCCGGCGAAAAATGTCCAGCAAATTTCGCCCTGTAATAATTAATTCGGTTGTAAATGATATAGTGCGAGATATTGTGCAAAAAATTCGTCACGGTAGAGTATTGATAATCGACAAAGCGGCCGATTCAAAGGAAACCAACTATACCTACCCCGAATTTGTCACATCAAACGACCGAATGTTTTCTATGCCGCTATTTCACAGCGTAACGAGTGAAGAAAATCGAACTAAATGCGTTTCTGTTGAGATTTTTTTCCATCTAAGAGAACCGAAAATATTATAATCAATAGGGTACAAAAAGAAAAGATGGTGATGTGGATTATAGAAAACGTAAATCGACCCTTTAGGAACACACGCAAACGCCAATTCTTTGATAACTAATTTATTTAACACCTAACGTATCCATTAAACTTCGGAATTAATCAAGATTGCGTGCGAATTTCCAAAAAAACGGCCATCCCTGATTTTTCGCCCGAGCCGGTTCGAAGGCCTTTGATGTCTCGGTTTTCTATTTTTTCGGTGTAACGAACCCGCGCGAGCTTCCGAAAAAAAGGGTTCGTGCAGTCGATATTATTACACGCGTAATGGCGTACCCACAACGTTTAATTTTGCCCTCTCGGTTGTAATCAAGTTGTCTATTCCGAATCCGCCTCGTTAGACTTTTAATTGCGGGGTGTCCGATTCTTAATGCACTCTCGAGTAAAAAACGTTCAAACAAAAAAATTTAAATTGTGGTAAATCTAACGAGTACCCTCACAAAGCCTGTCTAATTTATATTCTCGGGTACCTACTTAATGAAAGGAAATGCATTAGTGATTTGGTCGAATTTACCATCGCCCAAAAGTGTATAGATATTTCCATTTCAACCGTACAGAAATGCATATAAAAGGGTTCAATCTCTAGCAGCATGTGCCAAATATCAGAAAAGATGGGCACATGTTTCAACTGGTTCATCTGCCCACACCTTGCCCTTTATAACAGCTGAAAGGTAGGTACTCTTCAATGACTATTTATTTCGATTGTAATCAAAAAGAGTCCAGAAAAGAATCATCGTACTTTTATGGGTACTGAATTTTTATCTAAAGGCAACGAACTTGATCCATAAATGTGTTTTGATAGCGGGCGTGTATTTGAATAACCTGGCATTGACCTTTAGATAAAATTCAAACGGTAATTATAGGTAGAAATACAGAATTATCGCTAATACGTGAAACTGAATTGCGCCCGAAATGCTAGTAGCAGATGCAGAAGAAATTCGAGTTAAAACGAAACACAAACCGCCGGTCCGGGCAGATGTTTTTACATATACGTTGCATTGATAGAAAGTAGGTTCCCGGCTTGGAAACACGTCGAAATTAAAAATCGAAAAAATAAAGGAAAATTAAACGAAAATCGACCTGCAAAAGCGACTCAATTATGGCAATTAAAAAGAATAATTGTAAATGATATTGCCCGTTTTTTGTGTAATAAACAACGCCTAATAATAATTACACGGTGCTTATAAAACATCATAAAAAATATAATTCCCATTATCTACAAACCTATTATTCTAAACACAAAAAAATCTCATTCAAAGTGCATTAAAACCCGCGGCGTAAATTGCGCTAGGCCATATTACAAATTTATTCCAAGATAAAGAAAGTTAGAAATGACAAATTAACGAGCCGTTCCGTCAAATAAAATTAAGTTGTACATCAAGTAGCTACCCCCCGCATCAAAAATTTCAACCATACAGGGTGGCACAACAAAAATACTACCTTCTCTATTAAATCCCAAATTCAACAGAAAATTTCTTATATATTAAATAATTGTGGATACATAAGTACCTAACGAATGTATGCGTAAATAGTATTTTACTTATTTAGGTTGTGAAATAATTGGATTTGGATTAATAGATAATTTTAGTTTGGACCACTCTGTATAATTTAGTCGGCTCTCACAAAAGCTCGAAATGGTACCCCAAGGGGTTGCCACCCCCAGCGAATGCGATGAGTAAAAATGTTTATGGCTTTCCCCGTGTTTTTTGAATAATCGTGTGGAAATTGGAATCAACCATCATCATTAACAGTCCAGATTTATTTGTTTCGAAACTCTAATAGGCGCGTTATAAATGGTTTTGAACGAAAAAAAATATTGTATGGATTCGTGAATGAAACGAATAGAATTGTGTGAAATAAAATTGTTCGTTTAGATTAAAATGCACAGTAGGTATATTGACCTAAAATAGAATTATAAATATCGTGAATTGGATGCTCCAACAATAGAACAAGTTGTTTTCGTCAACCACCCACGCTTCTTATCAGCGAAAGGGTCGACCGAAAGGGTAAACATGGGACAGATGCGGAGGTTGAGAATCTATTTAAAATCGATATGCGAGGATTGGTTTCGCAAAAATGAAAGAAATCCAATATTTTATACTTTCGGCAAAATACAGATGTTCGTCTTCAGGTAAGTAACCAAAGGGTGAAGTGTAAAGCAGATGCAAAAAATCGCAGATATACTCTTCCTTTCAATGCGATTTTCGGAATTACTTATCGAAAAGGTTACACCACAATTCGACACGATTAATTACAACAATCTAAGGTCACTCGTAAAAATCTTTGTTAAAAAAAACGTTAGCGCTTTTTACGACTCTGGACGGTAATAAAAAAATCCAAAGCCCTGCTAATAACAGTGTTTGGATCACACATCAACACCTCTGACACACGAAGGTGCCCATCTATCTGCCATATAACGTGAAATATTCAAAACGTTCGGTCAATATTTAATAGCCTATAAATTCATGGACGTTCCCCATCGACTTTTCCAAAGGGAAAACACCTTGATACTGTTATTATAAGCGCACCTTCTATAATCATATAGAAAGTTAATTGTATTAAGATTTGATGTTATGGGTATCAATTTTTCTCATGTTCATATGGAAGTTTTTCATCATTCTAATATGTTAATTAGCAATTAATGAAATCTGTTTGTAAGCGTGACGTTCATGGAGAATGCTTCCAGGTTCGTTTTAAAAGTGACCGGCTTCCAAACGGCCGGCTGTAAATCATTGAAAAAGGTAATTCACCAGGAGTTCCCGCACTCCCACTCGATAGGTTACCCAATGATGCGACGCGTAGGCAGATAATTTTAGTACGGAATATTGAATTTTACCTTTAACGAGACGTTTTCGATTCGAGAACTGTCATCGCAAGATATAGGTACTCGCGGAAATTTTGAAATATCTGCGGTACTGTTTGCTTTTATTATGCGAACAGTACCGGAATCAGAATTCCATTTCTGTTATGCTTTATGAATACCCTGGTTGTTATAACAATTACATCACGTTTGTCGTTAATTATCTTCTGGATCTTTTTTTTTGGGCTACAATCTCGCGGCCTGATAAGGCTGTTGAGACTCTTTCGATTCAAAGAACCAGATAACTGCCTAATTGATGCTGTGGTGATACTGACAAAGTAACAAGTACGCTAAAAATCACTGTAGGCCCGTTTATAGTGACTCAAACTTTAGTTTGTTACATCTACATAATCTTATTTTCGGTATACATTTTTTACTACAAATAGAAAGAATTAGACAAAGTATTTTATGTAACAATTATATCAGATCTGTTATCAACAAATGTAAAAAAAATTGAAATACATAATATTGCTCCATAATTGCTTTCATAATAGTGCTGATATTAATATACCGACCTATTCACATTGTTTTGTACAAGAATATAAAGGAATGAAGAGGATCCTCGGATTGGCCTAAATTGATTTAATACGTTTATGGGAACTGACAGAATATTTTGCTCGTTAACGAAGGGACAAATTATAAGGCAACTACATGTAAAAAATGCAATTAAAATGATACCAAAGAGATAATCGCTAACGCGAATCTGGAGATGTTACCGAGATAATTTTCGCGTTTCTTCCTATCAATTAATAATGGAATTTTCTGGTGCATAAAGGGCATTTTTTATGTGGGGAATTTTTACCCGTCTTCGATCGATTTATTCACGCAATTTCATATCTAAAACAGGAAGTCTGTTAGTGACGGATTCAGGTTCGAATAACAAACATGCCTTTCTGAGGCTTTTGATTGACTGGAAATACGGCTAGTATGCACCGTAAGGATTTTTTAACCGCAATTATTGTACACGCCTATTTCGGGCCCGCTCGACATTATACTGTTTGCATATCGAAATTTAATATTCGCATTTTTCGTAATGGGATAATTAATCAAAAGACTCGCATACGAGCGATCTTCCTCTTACAAAACGGCAATTAAAACAAGAGTAATGTCGTGAAATTATCCTTTAACGCGGCCACATCAACTGTTGAAGTGATTTCGGCAGCTTGTGTGGTCGCTGTAAATCATCGCGAATTAATTTCTGGCGGAAAACGGGCTTATTTTTGGAAAATCTCCGAATATGCAAAACGAACGATAAGAAATCTGGAGTGAAAAAACTTAATTAAAGACGGCGATGGTGAAAATTATTATTTATGGTCCACCCGAAAGTGTTAATGAAAGGTGGAAGAGGCGTTATCTCGACGAAAATTATAAGAAGAATCCGACTGCTAAGATGGTGTTCGATAGGACCGCTTCGCATAAATCAACCAAAAAATATACCGAAGAAGGTGCTAACGTGGTTTCTATAAAAAATTACAAATGTATACACCCATATCTACTGTAATTATTTCATTAAAACGAATTCCGGTTTCTCTATGTGCTGCCTATTTTCTCTCGAGTTTGATTCAAAAAGCGGCGTAATCTTTAAGGGCTGCAGCCATCCCATCTGATAATATTGAATGTACAGGTGTATGTCGGCTCGATACAGGTGCATCTCAAGGTCGCACCCCGTAATATAATCAACTTTGTATTTTTTTACCGTCCACTCTCGATGATCAGTTGACCACTAACTCGTTTTTTTCCTTACAGAACGGAAGGGGTAGATGAAATGATGGCGGTTTTTACAACGTTTTTTGGAATGTTTGGGTTTCTAAAAGCACTTTTGTTTTAGTAAATAACCGGCAATTTAGTGCGTTTAATAGAAAACACTACAGTGAATACTTCTACAGCTCTTGATAATAAAGGTACATAAAATACGTGAAAAGTTAGCAGTAAATTACTGTTTCAGCTGGATCAAAATGATGATATAAGCGCTGAAACTGGATAGTAGCATGGGCAATAGTTTCCTGTTGACGTCGAAAAATCCTGCAACGGATAAAGAAGGCCGGAGTTCCGTGACCAAAGAGGCGAATTCGCTGAGCTGCTGCTTCAGAAAATCATCTTCGATACTCAGCTGGAGGATGTTCAGTAATTTGATCATTTTGTAGCCGGAGCTTTCGATGATGTCACCTGCTATTGCTATGATTATGGTCAAAACCTACAAAAAAATTAACATTATTTCAGGAATGTAATAAAAACTTTGGCATAATTGCATACATTTTACAGTTATATTTTATTTCGGGTGAAAATGATAGATAACTTACCACAAATATAAGCAAGTAAGCAATTTCTCGGCATAGTCGAATCGAATCGAATATTTTAAATTTATACAGTTCTAAAATCATATTAACACTATCCAAATAAGTTGACAATGCCAATACCAAAAACAGACAAATTTTTTTACCGAATAAGGAATCGAGGTGGCAAGATATTAAACGAATTTGATTTTGAATTGTTTTAAATTTTTGAAAGTCTGCGAAAATTTTTTGTCTTGAGTGGTTTCTACTGGTTTTTGATAGTCGTAAAACATCCTTACGTATTATTTTGTTAATTTTTTTTATTATTAATGCAACTTCAATTGTTACTCCAGTTATTGTAAAAAACTGAAGCAAAGTGAGGAGTTCGTATACTGCAGCAAACAAGATTATAAAATTAGAATTAACGTACGCTCTTGAATTGGCAAAAACGATCAGAATTAAAATAAATGACCACGAAATTCCACGTTTAATAACTTGTAATATCGATATATTAGAAGAAATATTTAATTTCTTTCTAATATTAAAAAATTCTTCTTGAATAAAACTGCAGGTTTTCCGTTTCACAACTAAATCATATAGATTAATAATATTAAACGAAACGTAAATTGCCGAATCTATTCCTAAAAATACTTCATCATATAAAAAGTTGGTACTAGTCACGAAATAATAACACACTATCGATGTTAAAATAAATACACTGAGGGATACAATAAACTCTTTAAATATATTTTCACTTTTCAAATTCCACGGGAATAAAAGTACCAAAGCGCCGATTCGAATCCAAAACTTCAGAAAAATATCGCCTTTATTTCGCTTTTTTATTAAAGAACGTTCGCCGTTCATTGTCAATTATTTTCTGTTAATTTTTCGTGATTTAATCCGATCGATGATTATGATAAAAAAACTAACATTCATATGAAACCGAACTAATTAATTTATGGAATATTAATGAAGGATTTTAATTTTGCTCAGTTCATTATTGTTATCATATTAATCTAAATATTTGATTTCTAATACACCTTAATAAATATTAAATATATCGTGTCTTAAAAAGGCACCTAAAAAGTAATGAAAAATGCACCTGAAATGCAAGGATATTATTACATCAACTTACTATAAATACAGAAAATCCTGAGAGATGTTGAATACCATGACTGTCTTGAAATTTCAGCTGTGAAAACTTTAAAAACAAATGTATTTGATCCAAAACCGATATGAAAAATGCTATGAGAAACACCAATATTTTCTTTCCGAAAAGCGCGTCTAAATTCGTTGCAAGAAAAAAATATTTCTTATAATTATTCTTCATTTTCGTGAATACGTATGCTATTTCTTCGTCTGGACAGAGTGGCTTGTTTTGTAAACTTTTAAACAATCCGCAGAATCTGTCGCATCTTCTTTTAAATATTAAGGATAGGTCTAGTAAAAAGCCGGCCATAACTATCCATTGAAAGTCGAATATTATGAAACAAAGTGCCAATAAACTTCGTAATATAATTGGACGAGCACCGAGTATGAAATTGCCATAAATTACCATTAATATCAACACAATCCATCCGAAGCCATTAACCATTATCCAAGCTTTAGATACATAAAAAGAGAAATTTTGGTTTTCATCAAAGGCGAGCAACTGGTAGAATTTTTCCCAACGTTTCCGTTCCTTTGAGACATCGTAAAAATTTACCAAAATACAAAAAGCATATAATGTCAAGTGTACTGATACCAATAATAAAACATCTATTCCGTAGCCTTTATAAATAATTATTAAACCAAAGCCATTTATCTCTATATTTAAAAGTACTATTATCAGGAAAATCAATTGATATTTTGTATATCCTTTCTGCACTGTCCACGGAAATATTCCTAATATTGCACCCAAACCATACCACATATTTATAATAGTATTATCTTTAATTCGTTTTTGACAAATTTCCATGTTCACAACCACTAGCCAGATAGGCCAAAGATAGATAGATATTCCTACCAAAAAATAAATGATACAATAATTATTTTTTTACAATATCGCATGGAAAATCGTAATTCCAAACCGTTATATCATGTTTTGCTTAATAGAACTTAGACATGCACATTAAAACTTCATTATAAATATTTAAAAAATAATTTTATAATCTACATAAACAGGGTGGTCCAGAAATCGCGCCCTACCGACAACAGGAATTATACGAACGACAATAGAGGTGCAAAAAGACATAAAAAAATGCCTGTCAAAATGGCGTAAAAACTTGTAAACATACTCAATAATACAAATAAAAAATTTTAGTCCGGTATATCCAATGGTTCAAAAAATAATTGAGGGGGGGTTACTATACATTTGTATATTTGAGCTTTTTATCTAAATTGTGGAATAATTCTTTGATAATCCTCCAGCGTTTTCTTTCCATTACAAGGTCGTAAAGGATGATCAAATTGAATAAACCGTGTGTAGCATTATCAAACGACGTAAATATCAAAATTCCCATTTATTCTTCATAGTCGATTATGATAAAAACGTTGATGATTGAAAAAGCGAAAAATAAAAATTGCCAGTGCGATTATTTGGTGTTTCATGAAACCTTTTTGTAACGTCCATGGAAACAATCCCAAAACGATCCCTGCTTTATACCAAAAATCAACGAAGAAAGTGTTTTTGATTCTTCTGTGATGGAAATCTATGATGGATAAAATCGAACTAAATTGAACTACAAACATTTTGTGATATTTTTGAATTAAATGTCGGAAAAATTAGTGGAAAAATTAAGAGAAAAAAACGCATCAGTAAGTAAAAAAAATAAGGACATTAAATTTTTAAGTAGCTTCAAGTAACTTAATAATCTGGCCAATATTTGCTATCGTATGGATAAAGGAATTCACCCGACATGTCAAGGAAAAAATTCACCAGGCAAATATCAAGATCAAGAAGAATGCAAGCTTCCTTCCGAAAGTGCTATTTAAATTTCTTCTTTAAAGACTTCATAAAAAATACCTTTGGATATTTGGAATTTGGAGTTCCTTGTAATTTACAAAATTTTGCCTTTTTTAGATAACAATGGAGAGGAGTACGACTTTTTTTGAATTTTTCTTATAAAACTACGTATGAAGTCATTGTTGAAATTTTTAAATTTCTCCCTTTTCTATTAGGGTCACAATTAATTTTTAAAGTTTGAAATACGTCACAAATCATTAACCAATTACATTAAGAATTGGTGGTAAGGATCGTTTTTAGCGACGTTGTCAACTATCTCAACGAAATAATCGCAGATTATATTCGTTCTTCTTCTCACCATAAACAAACCTCTAATACAATCTAATAGAAGCACGTCATGATGTACGTTTATTGTATAATTGTACAAGTCAGACAAACAATGTAATTTATCCATAATCCGAAATTTTCAAAATCTAGCATAATTAGGATAGATTAGTACGACCTCACAGGGTATTTTAGTAAACACCGGAAATTTAGTGCGTTTAATTGAAAATTCTTCCATAGTAAATACTTCTACAGTGAATACTACATTTTTTGGTAATGAAGGTACATAAAATAAGTGGAATTACTGCTTCAACTGGATCAATATGATGATATAAGCGCTGAAACTGGATAGTAGCATGGGCAATAGTTTCCTGTTGACGTCGAAAAATCCTGCTACGGATAAAGAAGGTCGGAGTTCCGTAACCAAAGAGGCGAATTCGCTGAGTTCCTGTTTCAGAAAATCATCTTCGATACTCAGCTGGAGTATGTTCAGTAATTTGATCATTTTGTAGCCGGAGCTTTCGATGATGTCACCTGCTATTGCTATAATTATGGTCAAAACCTGCAACAATATGAACATTATTTCAGCAATACAAAAAACATTAAAATTTACTATAGTTATATTTTGATTTATAAGTGGACACATTATAATTAAGGACATTTTATTTCGGGTAAAAATGATGGAGAACTTACCACAAATACAAATAAGTAAGCAATTTCTCGGCAAAATCGAATCACATCGAATATTCCAAATTTATGCAAATCTAATATCGTATTAACAGTATCCAAAAAAGTTGAGAATGCCAATACCAAAAACAGCCAAAATTTTTTACCGAATAAGGAATCGAGTTGGCAAGATATCAAACGGATTTGATTTTGAATTGTTTTAAATTTTTTAAAGTCTACTAAAATTTTTTGTCTTGAGTAGTTTCTACTGGTTTTTGTTAGTCGTAAAACGTTCTTACGTATTATTTTGTTAATTTCTTTGATTATTATTGCAACTTCAATTGTTACTCCAGTTATTGCTAAAAACTGAAGCAAAGTGAGGAGTTCGTATACTGCAGCAAACACGATTGAAAAATTAGAATCAATGTACCCTCTTAAATTAGCGAAAACTATTAGAAAAAAAATAATTGACCACGAAATACCACGTTTAATAACTTGTAACATCGATATTTTAGAAGAAATATTTAATTTCTTTCTGATATTAAAAAATTCTTCTTGAATAAAACTGCAGGTTTTCCGTTTCACAACTAAATCATATAGATTAATAAAATTAAACGAAACGTAAATTGCCGAATCTATTCCTAAAAATACTTCATCATATAAAAAGTTGGTACTAATCATCACGTATGAATAAGAAAACATCAATATTATAATAAATACACTGAAAGATACAATAAACTCTTTAACTATATTTCCACTTTTCAAATTCCACGGGAATAAAAGTGCCAAAGCGCCGATTCGAAACCAAAACTTCAGAAAAATATCGCCTTTATTTCGCTTTTTTATTAATGAACGTTCGTTGTTCATTGTCAATTACTTTCTGTTAGTTTTTCGTAAACTAATTCGATGCGTGATTCCGACTAAAAAAATTAAAATTCATATGAAACCGAACTAATTAATTTATAGAATATTAATGAAGGATTATAATTTGGCTGAGTTCATTATTGTTATCATATCAATCTAAATATTTGGTTTCTAATAAACCTAAATAAGTATTACATAGTTACAATGTGTCCCAAAATATGTCCTTAAAACGGCACACACATTATTTGATTCGTTGTGCTACATGTCGTACAACCCAAGTTGATACTACCATTGAAACGACAGATCGGATCAACGTATTTATCCACTAATTTAAACTACTGTTTGATATTTGTCGGACAACCAAGTCGTTTCAATCATTTTAAATTGTGTCAACGATGGGATCGAATTTGTCAAAAAGGGCTGTAGTTAATGCAATTGTGATAGTTTGTATTTATTTCCTTTAATTTTTCCAGGAGGATCGCGTAACTGGCACTTCTTTTTTGTTTATTTAGGTATTTCTTACTTTTTATGATGTCCCACAAACATGTTTAATTGTGGTATTTTTCTATGAATTCCGCCAAAAATTTCATTATTGAAAAATTATTTTTCATTATTATCAATAATGCACATTTTTTATACAGGGTGGCCCAGAGCTCACGTCCCACCGGGTGAAGCCTTATAGAAACGATAATGGAGATGCCAAAACTGCAGTCGAAAACATGAAAAAGTTTTTCCTTTGGTAAATAAAGAAGTTTAAAATCGACCAATCCCAGTAGGAGTTCAAATCCACGAAAATGACGTGAATTAGCTGTACCCCTGTTTAACATTATTGAAAGATTCTATGTCTTCTATGTCTAGAAGCTGCCAAAATAACCTGCGACTATTGATCAATGATTTGCTTTCAAATCGATCATTCAAGAGCTCCGTCATACTGATACCAAACCTACAGAATTTTTTATTGCTTCAAAAGTGGTTCGAATCGAATGATCGATTTTTTGATCAATTTGGAAGCAAATATCTTTGATCAATAGTCGCTGCTAGGAGGATCAGCATACTAACTAAGAATGATCAACATAACTCATCCTCTACAATTATAAAATAACCTTAAATACGCTTCAAGTCCGTTTTAAATTTTTTTCCAAAATCGCTCTGTGTACAAATAGACATACAAAATAAATGATAATATCCATGAATTATAAGTACTTACCACTATTAAAATAAACTCTGTCAAGTTTTCCAATATATTAGTCATCTGAATATCGTTCTTATCGCTTGCATCCAATATGAACTGGACTTCGTCCAAAATAGTTATGAAAGCCATTACAAGAAAGAGTAACAATTTCCTTCCAAATAGGGAGTTCAAATTCCAAACGATGAGCACGTAGTATTTATAATTCTTCACTGTCATTAATTTACCTGCCACTTCTCTTTTCAGCTGGTAAGGATTTTTGACCAAATTCTCTAAAGTTCTGCAACATTTCTCGATTCTTCGTTTCAACAGCAAAGATACGTCGATTAGATAACCAATAGTTACGAATTTTTGCATTTGGTATAAGTTCCAGATAACTCCTGATAGGATACGTACCAAAGAATAATCCTTAAAAAAATGCAAATTCGCATATATGTTGAAGAGTAAATGTAGAATGCTCCCGATGATATAAAATATTATATTAATTTCTGATACATAGTTAGTATAGTTGAGGTTTTTGTCCAAATTGTGAAATAATTCTTTGATAGTCCTCCAACGTTTCCTTTCCATTACGAGGTCGTAAAGAATTATCAAATTAAATAATCCGTGTGTAGCATTATCAAGCGACGTAAATATCAAAATTCCCATTTCTTCCCCATAGTTTTCATAGTCGATTATGATATAAACGCTGAGGATTGAAAAAGCGAAAAATAAAAATGTCAGCGCGACTATTTGGTGCTTCATGAACCCTTTTTGTGATGTCCATGGAAACAATCCCAAAACGATCCCTGCTTTATACCAAAAATCAACGAAGAAAGTGTCTTTAATTCTTCTGTGGTGGAAATCCATGATGGATAAGATCAAACTAAATTGAACTACAAATATTATGTCGTAATTTTGAATTTTCCGGAATTATTATTATCGCGTGACAACTCCATTGAGTGAAATAAATTTATTATTTATTAATTGCATCATGCTATAATATTTTGTTTGAACTACCTATTTGTGCGCCGTAAAACTGCGCTATGATTCAAGAGACTTGGAAAAATCATTGAGAAAAAATAAAGATATTTTTAAGTAGCTTAAAATAACTTACCTCTTTGTATAAAAATCGGGTCAATATTTGCAATCGTTTGAATAAAGGAACTCAACCGACATGTCAAGGAAGAAATTTACGCAAGCAAGGAACCAGAAAAGTTAAAGATCAAGAAGCATACAAGCTTCTTTCCGAAAGTGCTATTTAAATTTAAGACTTCTTAAAAAAGCTTTCAACATTTGGAATTTGCACTTCCTTGTAAAAATGTATGAAATTTGGCCTTTTTTGACATCAATTCGAAATAATCGCATATTTTATTCGTTCTTCTTCTCACAATAAAGTTTATACTTATACACCTTGCTCCATTTCCGATTGCAATATGGTCATTTCTATGAGTGGAACAAAGAAAGGTTATTAAAATGACAGTTGTCAGAGTGAAAAGTTGTAATGACACAATGTCACTCTTTCTTTTTCCTTTGTAAGTGTCTAATGGAAGTTGTCTTTATCGCACCCATGGACTATACAGGGTATACCACGGTCGATGGCAGGTTAGGCGTTTAGGGAAAACGGAGCGTACGATTGTCGTGAAAATTTGGTTATTTAGGTAATTGGTCTTGCTCTATCGATTTAAAATATTTTCAACGCTGCGGCGTTGCCACTTCTATCGAAAGGTAGCAGCAACTTTGTTATTTTAAATGAGACACCCTGTATATTTTTACATTTTTTGCTCCGCTATTGCTTTCCGATTATTTTTGTATAATACTTCCCTATACCTATCTTTAGCGCTTTTCGAGAAATTCATTATTTTATTTAATTTTTTATTCAAAACATAGCTCCATTTAAATGTTGATTACTGCGGTAATTAGATTAGGAGAAAACTGAAATTTTGGGATTAGCTTAGAGATGCATTAGGTATTAGTTCGCTATAATCGATTGTTTATTTATTTATACAGGGTTGTTCAAAAATTGTCATTTTATCGCTAGATATACAAATGCTAATAAGTTCATTTTTTTAAATGGGACACCCGGTATATTTTTAAATATTCAAAAAGATAATTAAATTCTCTTTTAAATGGTATATCATGTTCCTATACCTAAATAATCAGGTTTCCGAAATAAAAGCAAATTTCTGTAAAAATCTGATTATTTTGGGAATTTGTATTAGGTAGCTGTGAAATCATGAAATGTCATGCAAATTTGACATTTAGTGCCAATTAGTTATAAATAATAAAACGTCTGTTCTACATAAGTATTTAAACTAAAAACAATTGAAATGGAATGAAATAATTATTCAAATGAAGTTCAAATGAAGGTTTTTTTGTACTATATTATTGTTATTATTTTTATGTTTATTTATTTATTTTTATGTTTATAACTGACATGTTTTCGTCTCTCTCAGTTTTGATCCATAATTAGCGAAATAATTAAGCAATCTTACAAACTTTTTCTCGTTCATTGGTTGTAAATTCGGATACATTACATTGAATTCTCTGCATTTTCTAGCTATAATTTTGTCACATTGTCCATGAAAAATAAATAAATTCATAGGAACTTTATTTGAATAATTATTTCCTTCCATTAAATGTCCATTAAATGTCAAATTTGATGACATTTCATGATTTCACAGCTACCTAATACAAATTCCCAAAATAATCAAATTTTTATAGAAATTTGCTTTTATTTTGGAAACCTGATTATTTAGGTATAGGAACATGATATACCATTTGAAAGAGAATTTAATTATCTTTTTGAATATTTAAAAATATACCGGGTGTCCCATTTAAAAAAATGAACTTATTAGCATTTGTATATCTGGCGATAAAACGACAATTTTTGAACAACCCTGTATAAATAAAAAAAATCGATTATAGCGAACTAATACCTAATGCATCTCTAAGCCAATCCCAAAATTTCAGCTTTCTCCTAATTTAATTATCGCAGTAATCAACATTTAAATGGAGCTATGTTTTGAATAAAAAATTAAATAAAATAATGAATTTCTCGAAAAGCGCTAAAGATAGGTATAGGGAAGTATTATACAAAAATAATCGGAAAGCAATAGCGGAGCAAAAAATGTAAAAATATACAGGGTGTCTCATTTAAAATAACAAAGTTGCTGCTACTTTTCGATAGAAGTGGCAACGCCGCAGCGTTGAAAATATTTTAAATCGATAGAGCAAGACCAATTACCTAAATAACCAAATTTTCACGACAATCGTACGCTCCGTTTTCCCTAAACGCCTAACCTGCCATCGACCGTGGTATACCCTATATAACCTATACAAGCTTCTTTCCGAAAGTGCTATTTAAATTTAAGAGATCTTTAAAAATAGCTTTAGATATTTGGAATTTGTACTTCCTTATAATAATGTATGAAATTTGGCCTTTTTTAGACAACAATTCTAAATAAACGCAGATTATATTCGTTCTTCGAGACTGCTCAAGCCAAGGATCAGGCACTGAGGCGTCTGGCGGACCCCTTTATACCATTCCTGCTCTTTATGCATCCATGAGGCTGGATCCATCGACGAAGGCCTCAGTTCTTCTCAATGGATGCCTGTTTGCATATCCAGGGATCATAACCGGGACTCCAAAGATTCGCCTGCGTAGCACAGTACCCCTTTAGGAGTTCTGCTTTCTTTTTAGCCTACTACGTGGCTGTTCTACAGCTGCCCTAGAATGTCCATCAGTCCAGCCTCTGAGTAGGAGCTTGGACTGCCTCAAAGGCCCCTAAGAGCGAGATGCTGATTTTGCAGCAAAACTTTAACTTCCAAAAAATCGCACAATTAGGATAGATTACGACAACACAGGATATTTAAGTGCGTTTAATTAGAAATACCATTGCTGAAAATACTTCTACAGTTCTTACTAATAAAAGTACATAAAATGCTAGAAATTACTACTTCAGCTGGATCAAAATGATGATATAAGCGGTAAAACTGGATAGTAGCATGGGCAATAGTTTCCTGTTGACGTCAAAAAATCCTGCAACGGATAAAGAAGGCCGGAGTTCCGTGACCAAAGCGGCAAATTTGCTGAGTTCCTGTTTCAGGAAATCATCTTCGATACTCAGCTGGAGTATGTTCAATAATTTGATCATTTTGTCGCCGGATTTTTCGATGATGTCACCTGCTATTGCTATGATTATGGTCAAAACCTGCAACAAAATGAACATTATTTCAGCAATTCAAAAATAAACGAAAAATAACGTCATTTTATCGATTTATTTATTAAGAAACATTTGTCCTTCATCGTCAATTAATTTTTGTTAGTTTTTCATAATTTCGACAAAAATCTAAAATTCATAGGAAATCGAACTAATTAATTAATGATAAATTAATGAATGATTTTAATTCGGGTAAGTTCATTATTTTTATCATATCAATCTAAATATTTGGTTTCTAATAAACCTAAATATGTACTACATATGTAGGTACAATGTGTCCCAAAAAATGCCCCTAAACTGTTATCGTAAAAATAGGTGTCGTAAGGAAATTATTACACTAACTTACTATTAATACAAAAAATGCTACGAGATGTTGAATACCATGATTTTCATGAAAATTCAAATTCAAAAACCTTAAAAACAAATGTATTTGGTCCAAAACTGATATGAAAAATGCTATGAGAAACACCAATATTTTCTTTCCAAGAAGCGCGTCCAAATTTTTGGTAAGAAAATAATATTTTTTGTAATTATTCTTCATGTTCGTGATGACGTATGCTATATTTTCTTCTGGACAGGGCGGCTTGTTGTGTAAACTTTTAAACAATTCACAGAAACTGTCGCATCTTCTTTTAAATTTTAAAGATAGGTCTAGTAAAAAACCAGCCATAACTATCCATTGTAAATTAAATGCTAGGAAGCCAAATCCAAACAAAATTCGCAATATAAATAAATCAGCACTGAGTATGAAATTGCCATAAATGACCATTAATATCAATAGAATCCATCCGAATCCATTAACCAGTATCCACGCTTTAGATACATAAAAAGAAAAATTTTGGTTTTCATCAAAGACGAGCAACTTGTAAAATTTTTCCCAACGTTTCCGTTCCTTCGAGACATCATAAAAATTTACCAAAATACATAAAGTATACAATATCAAGTGTACTGATACGAATAATATAACATCTAGTCCGTAGCCTTTATAAATAAATATTAAAATGATGCCATTTATCTCGATATGCAATAGTAACGTTATCAGGAAAACCAATTGGTATTTTATGTATCCTTTGTGCACTATCCACGGAAATATTCCAAACATTGCACCCAAACGATACCACATATTTATAATAGTATTATCTTTAATTCGTTTTTGACCAATTTCCATGTTCACAACCACTAACCAGATATACCACAAAATAAATGACAATTATTTTTATAATAAAAGAGCATATGAAAAATCATAATTCCCAAAGCGGTATATCATGTTAATTCCGCTTAATGAGACTTAAGCATGCACATTAAAACCTATACAGGGTGAGTTTTTTCCGATTTAGTGGGATCTCGAAAACTGTAGGAGGTAGAAAAAAATTTAATGGACAAACATTTGCAGTTTTGTGAGACATGTTCACAACCAGTTACAGTTTTGCAAAATATGACATCTGTCAAAATATTTAAATGTATTTGAGCGGCGAAATATATAGGTAGACTGCAAATTTTATGGTAGACCGGCGCTTACTATATCTAACGTTTATATCTAACATATCATATATTTGATCCCGATTTAATCTCGGCTTAATCCCGGATTAAAGTTGATTCGCATATGAGCAACCGGGCCTCTATTTACAAATAGCAATAGATAATCATTGAAAATTGAGAAACGAATGTACTTACCATAATTAAAATTAACTCTGTCAAGTTTTCCAATACAATAGCGATCTTAATATCGCTCATATCGATATCCAGTATGAACTGTACTTCGTCCAAAATCGTTATGAAAGCCATGACAAGAAAGAGTAGCAATTTCCTTCCAAATAGGGAGTTCAAATTCCAAACGATAAGCACATAGTATTTATAATTCTTCAAACTCATTAATTTGTAGGCAACTTCTGTCTTCTGCTGGTAGGGATTTTTGACTAAATTTTCCAATATTCTGCAGCATTTCTCGATTCTTCGTTTCAACAGCAAGGACACATTGATTAGATAACCAATGGTTATAAACTTCTGCATTTGGTATAAATTCCAGATAATTCCTGATACGATACCCACCGAAGAAGAATTCTTAAAAAAAAAATGCCAATTTGCATATATGTTCAATAGTAAATGTAGAATACTTCCGATGATATAAAATGTTATGTAAGTGTCTGATACGTAATTAGTATAGTTGAGGTTTTTGTCCAAATAGTGGAACAATTCTTTGAGTGTCCTCCAACGTTTTCTTTCCATTACGAGGTCGTAAAGAATAATCAAATTGAATAATCCGTGTGCGGCATTATCAAGCGACGTGAATATCAAAAGCCCCATTCCATACCCACAGTTTTCTTTGTCGATTATGATATAAACGCTGAGGATCGAAAAAGCCAAAAATGAAAATGCCAGCGCGATTATTTGGTGTTTCATGAACCCTTTTTGTAATGTCCATGGAAACAATCCCAAAGCGATCCCTGCTTTATACCAAAAATCAACGAAGTAAGTGTCTTTGATTCTTCTGTGATGGAAATCCATGGTGGATAAAATCGAACTAAATTGAACTGTAAACATTTTGTGGTAATTTAGAATTTTCTGGAAAAATTATTATCGCGTGACAACTCAACTAAGTGAAATGAAATTATTATTTAGTTAATTACCATTCTACATACAGGGTGTTTGATAATAACACGCTTTTTTAAGGGGGTGATTCTTGGACCCATTTAAAAAAACTTCATATTATTATGCCCTAAACCTAAAATTTATTATTATCTAATCTCATTACAGCGGTAAAAGAGGTTCCAAATTAAACTCCACATAGGTATACGTTTCTGATACATAATTAGTTTAGTTGAGGTTTTTGTCTAAATAGTGGAATAATTCTTTTGATAGTCCTTCAACGTTTTCTTTCCATTACGAGGTTATCAAGAATTATCAAATTGAATAATCCGTGTGTGGCATTATCAAACAACGTAAATATCAAAATTCCCAATTCTTCCCCACAGTTTTCAGTCGATTATGATATAAACGCTGAGAATCGAAAAAGCCAAAAATAAAAATGCCAGCGCGATAATTTGATGTTTCATGGACCCTTTTTGTAATGTCCATGGAGACAATCCAAAAGCGATCCCTACTTTATACCAAAAATCAACGAAGAAAATGTCTTTGATTCTTCTGTGATAAAAATCCATGATAGACAAGATGGAACTATAAAGATTTTGTGATAATTTAGAAAAATTATTATCGCGTGAAAACTCGATAGTGAAATGAATTTATTATTTATTTTAATGCATCATGCTATTCAGGGTGTATCTAAATAACATCGAAAACATGTAAGTGGTGATTCTGAATTTTTTTTTTAAATACTTTTAGTTGGTAAATGACTTTTAAGTCATACTTTTTAATTAAAATGTTCATTTAAAAAAAGTTGAAAAAAGAAAAAATGCCATGGGGTTGACTATTTCAACCCTTTCTAAACGTACTTCGGGGTTGAAAAATTTTAAAATGTGTAGTATCATTAACAAATAATATTCCCCAAATTTCGTGTCTTTGGGAGGGTTTAAAAAAATTATATCAAGTACCCCGCTTATTTTTTTTTGGTGTAATTTAGATACACCCTGTATATTTTTGTTCGATCAATTTGTGCACCGTAAAATGGCCCTATAATTCAAGAGATTTTGAAAAATCGTTAAGAAAAAAATTAAGGACATTTTTTAAATAGAATTATCTCACCTACAGTGAAATAGACATTTTTTTGTTATAAACAGGAATGTTAATGCTACCGAGAGACTTTTTGCTGCTTTAAGTACTTTTTTAAAAAGCTTAAAATAACTTACTCTAAAATATAATCCGGCCAATACTTTCAATCCTGCGGATAAAGAAGCCCTATACATCTCATGGAAGAAATCATCTTCTTTCCTAATATTCTATTTAAATAAACTTCTTTAAAAATAGCCTTCGTCATTTGGAATTTGCACCTCGTTGTAATGTATGAAAGTTCGCCTTTTTTAGACAACAATTCGAAATAATCGCATATTCTATTCGTTCTTCTTCTCACCAACAAAGCTCTAATATATAATCTAATAGAAGCACATTATAATGTAGGTATATTTGTACATTCAATAATAAATAGTAGTGAGAAACAATGCAATTATGGATAATATTGAATTTATCCACAATCTCAAATTTCCAAACGCCAACCAAATTAAGATAGTTTACGACTCCACGGGATATTTTAGTAAATTACCGAAAATTTAGTGCGCTTAATTAAAAATACTTCTACAGTAAATACTATAACATTACTTGATAATAAAGGTAAATAAAATAGGTGGAATTATTGCTTCAATTGAATCAAAATGATGATATAAGCGCTGAAACTGGATAGTAGCATAGGCAATAGTTTCCTGTTGACGGCGAAAAATCCTGCAACGGATAAAGAAGGCCGGAGTTCCGTGACCAAAGAGGCGAATTCGCTGAGTTGCTGCTTCAGAACCTTATCCTCGATACTTAGCTGAAGGAGGTTCAGTAATTTGATCATTTTGTAGCCGGAGCTTTCGATGATGTCACCTGCTATTGCAATGATTATGGTCAAAACCTGCAACAATATGAACATTATTTCAGCAATACAAAAAACATTAAAATTTACTATAGTAATGTTTTGATTTAAGTGGATACATTATAAGTAAATTTTATTTCGGGTAAAAATGATGGAAAACTTACTACAAATATAAGTAAGCAAGCAAATTCTCGTCATTATCGAATCAAATATTCAGAATTTGTACAAATCTAAAATCATATTAATAGTAGGTATCTAATTATGTAAGTTGCTAAGGCAAATAGAAGAAACTCAAACGAAGTTGATTTGAAATTATTTTAAATTCATACACTGAAGGATACAATAAAAACTCTTAACTGTATTTCCACTTTTCAAATTCGATGGGAATAAAAGTACCAAAACGCATTAAATTCCAATGAAACCAAATAATCAATTAATTATATATTTATGAAAAATAATGAGTGATTTTAATTCGGCAGAACTCATTATTGTTATAATATTAGTCGAAATATATATTTGATTCATGATAAATCTAAATTAGTATTAAATACTTGGTGTCAAAAATATTTTTGGTAAGTGCATTATTACACCAACTTACTATAAACACAAAAAATTCTACGAGATGTTGAATACCATGATTTTCTTGATGTTTGGTGTATGAAAAAATTAAAAACAATTGTATTTGGCTTAAAATCGATGTGAAAAATGCTATGAGAAACACCAATATTTTCTTTCCAAAAAGTAAGTCTAAATTCGTGACAAGAAAAAAATATTTTTTATAATTATTCTTCATTTTCTTGAAGCTGTCGTACGCTATTTTTTCGTCTTTACATAATGGCTTATTTTGTAAACTTTTAAACAATACGCAGAAATTGTCGCATCTTCTTTTATATATTACAGATAGGTCTAATAAAAAACCGACCATAACTATCCATTGCACGTTGAATATTATGAAGCAAACGCTCAATATACATCGTGGTATAAATAGACGAACACCGCTCTTGAAATTTCCATAAATGACCATTAATATCAATACAATCCATCCGAAACCATTAACCAATATCCACGCTTTAGATACATAAAAAGAGAAATTTTGGTTTTCATCAAAGACGAGCAACTGGCACAACTTTTCCCAACGATTCCGTTCCTTCGAGACATCATAAAAATTCACCAAAACGCATAACGTATATACTGTCAACTGCACTGTTGACAGTATCATAGTAGCCAAATCCAAGTCTTTATAAACAATTATTAAAATAATACCATTAATCTCGGAATTCAAAAGCAACGTTATCAGAAAAGCCAATTGATATTTTGTGTATCCTTTGTGCACTGTCCAAGGAAATATTCCAAACGTTGCACCCAAACCATACCACATATTTATAATAGTATTATCTTTAATTCGTTTTTGACCAATTTCCATGTTCACAACCACTAACTAGATATACCAAAAAATAAATGACTAAACAATTATTTTTATAATAATAGAGCGTATGGAAAATCGTAATTCCAACACGTTATACCATGTTCTGCATATTAGAACTTAGGCATGCACATTAATACTTCATTCAATATTTAAAAACTAATTATCTCATATACAGGTTGATGCATCTCAGTTTACAGTATAGGCTATGAGTGCAACAAAAACAACTTCCATTAGACACTTATAAAAGAAAAAAAGGGTGATAATAATCTTTCTTGGCTTAATTTATAGATTTTACCATATTTCAAAATTGTGTGCACTTACATGTAATATTACTGATAATAATGTGATTCCAATATGGTCAAATTTATGAGTTGAACAAGAAAAGATTATTAAAATAAGAGTAGTTAGAGTGTCCCATATATCACTCTTTTTTTCCTTTGTAAAGGGTGTTTCAATAAGACCGCTAGATTTGAATTACCTGTCATGTTTGACAGTCATAATGACACGTGATTTTAACATGACAGATCGATAGTTGACAGTTGGGAGTTAGTAAATATGGATCATTGGATCTGGATATGGATCTGGATATGGAACATAATCGCGTCTTAATTGTTAAACATTACTCCCGGTCGGGTCATTTCCCCGTTTGGTGACCAGAATTGGCCGCCACGTTTTTGTGATTTAGCACCTTTGGACTTCTGGCTGTGGAGTTACTTGTAGTCACAGGTTTATACCAACATGCCCGCGACCACCGAAGCGTTGAAAGCCGAAATTAAACGCTGTATCAATAAAATACCGCCACGTGTTTATAATAATGCTATAGAAAATTTTATCAAAAGAGTACGCTTGTGCCAGCAAAGCCGTGGGACCATTTACAAGATATTTTGTTTCATATATAATTCTAAAATGTACACATGATAAATTTATAAATATTTCCATATTTTGCTACAGGTAACATTGTTTTATTGAACCTTAAGATCTTGCGCTCTTATTGAAACACGCTTTATAATACTAATGGAAGTTGATTGCTCTCATAGCCTTCCTTCGAAACATTTTGCATCTACCTGTATAAGTAAAACACTTCAAAATAAGCTTCAAACCCTGTCTAAAATTTATTGAAAATCGCTCTTTGTATAAATAAACATAAACGTCACATACGATAATCATTGGCCCGTATTCAGCGCGTCTGTTTAACTTTAGAGTGACTCTGAATTCGTGTCTTTAACTTGACAGATTTACATTGTTGTTATGGAGTAACTAGGGACTCGAGACGCGACTTTAGAGTCACTCTAAAGTTAAACAGAGACGCTGAATACGGGCCATTAAATTTAAAGAACTTACTACAATTAAAATGAGCTCTGTCAATTTTTACAATATATTAGTGATCTGAATACTGCCCTTATTGATATCCAGTATGATCTGGGCTTCGTCTAAAATCGTTATGAAAGCCATCACAAGAAACTGCAGCAATTTCCATCTGAATATCCATAATTGCATTAGCAATTATGGATAATATTGAATTCATCCATAATCTTAAATTTCCAAAAGCTAGCACAATTAGAATAGATTACGACCTCACAGGATATTTTAGTAAAAAACGGAAATTTAGTGCGTTTAATTAAAAATACTTCTACAGAAAATACTACAACATTTCTTGGTAATAAAGGTAAATAAAATAGGTGGAATTACTGCTTCAATTGAATCAAAATGATGATATAAGCGCTGAAACTGGATAGTAGCATAGGCAATAGTTTTCTGTTGACGGCGAAAAATCCTGCAACGGATAAAGAAGGCCGGAGTTCCGTGACCAAAGCGGCAAATTCACTGAGTTGCTGCTTCAGAAAATCATCTTGGATACTCAGCTGGAGGATGTTCAATAATTTGATCATTTTATAGCCGGAGCTTTCGATGATGTCACCTGCTATTGCTATGATTATAGTCAAAACCTGCAAGAAAATGAACATTATTTCAGCAAACAAAATATTGAATATAGTTATACATATTCATGTATTTCATTTTGTAATATAGGCTATGGGTGCAACAAAGACAACTTCCGTTAGACACTTTTATAAAGGAAAAAGAAATGATGATGATGCTGCCGATGATATAAAATATTATATCGTTTGCTCCATTTCCGATTGCAACATGGTCCTTTCTATGAGTGGAACAAAGAAAGATTAATAAAATAACAGTTGTCAGAGTGAAAAGTTGCAAAGACATAAATGTCATTCTTTCCTTTTCCTTTATAAGTGTCTAATGGAAGTTGTCTTTATCGCACCCATGGCCTATATAACCTATGTTGCGATCAAAAATGGAGCAACCTGTATAAATTTCTGATACGTAATTGGTGTATATTAGTTGTTTGTCAAAATAGTGGAACACTTCTTTGATAGTCCTCCAACGTTTTCTTTCTATTACGAGGTCATAAAGAATAACTTACCCCAAAATATAATAATCCGGCCAATATTTGCAATCGTATGGATAAAGGAGCACCCGACATGTCAAGAAAGAAATTCACACAGGCAACGAACCGGACAAAGCACAGGATCAAAAACAACGCAAGCTTTCTTCCGAAAATGCTATTTAAATGTTTGTTAAAATTTAAGATTTCTTTAAAAATGGCTTTCAAAATGTTGAGTTTGTACTTCGTTGTGGTGTAGGAAATTTGGCTTTTTCTAGACAACAATTCAAGGTAATCGCAGATTACGTCTGTTCTTCTTTTCACCATAAACGAAACCTCTAGTAGAAAGCACGCCATGATGTATAATTGTATATCCATTAACATTGTATCGAGAAACATTGCAATTAAGCATAACATTGACTTTATCCATAATCTCAAATTTCCAAACGCCATCAAAATTAGGAGAGTTAACGACGCCAGTGGATAAATCCTTGTACTGTATTTATTATTACACCTAGAATTGTATGTAGAATCTGTAGAAAATATGATGTCGTAGAAAAATCTCCAATTTTTTCGCTTCGTCCATAATTCAACAAAATTAGAAATTATTAGAATTAAAGACAGGTACACACCGACTATTCCTAGTATTTGTACAACAAGAAACCTTAATCTTACATACAATGATAAGTAAACACACCCGGCCATCACTAGCAAATATATAACCGATAGGGTACCAATTTGCAAAATTATTTTCTTTCGTTCCAGAGCGCATGGAAACAATCCCATCACCATCCCGAAACGGTACAACCAATGCAATATGAATTTTTCGGTCGCTTTTCCGTCCATTTCGAAATTTAATGCTATACAAATGAACATTTATGTACCGTTGAACACATTGCGTGTTACAAATTGGATGGAAAAATGCAATAAATATCTAAACACTATCTACAAATATGGTGTATATTTATCAAAATTTCTAATATTATAATGTCATAAATTTATAGCTGAATAGGTAATGTAGAACTTACCGTATACATTGATACTCCAGCCATGAGTTGCATTTTAACATTTAGAGGAGCTGCTGGTGTGAAAATGAGAAAATTTGCGCAGGAGACGAACCGAATGAAACTCAAAAATATGAAAATAATGAGCTTTTTGTCGAAAGCTTCGTTCAAATTTGTATCTAAATTTAGAACTTCTTTATAAACAACCTTGAGTCTCTTTAGTTTGTGCTTTATGGCGATCTGTGAAAATTCGTGACACTCTTTCGTAACTCGAAAGTAATCGCAAATTGCTTCAGTTCTTCTTTTCACCATTAGGGACACTTCCAGTAGAAAACCTGCCATTATAAATAACTGTATTTCTGCTATCATCGAAGAAAAAAACCACGCGATCATCATTATCACTGAATTAACCCAAAGTCTCAAATTCCCAAATGCTAATATTACTAACATAAACAAGGATAATATCAAGTAATTTCTTAAATTGTAATTAGAACTATACCATGTGTACATGTTAAAATCCGAATTAAAAATGATACCGTTAAAATACTCCCAATTTTTTCTTTTTAACAGCAAATCAGAGAGGTTTAATAGTATGAAAATTATCCCAACCGTAATCATGATGAGTCCATAAATATAAAATTCAGTTTTCTTCTTCAAAGTAATGAAAGTTAATTCACAAGTGGTCGCAAGCGGTAAAACTATGATCATTAACACAATTAACTGTTTCACGATTTTCCTCTTCTGAGGAACCCAAGGAAACAAACCAAATACAGTGCCAAGATGGTAAATATATCGCAAAAGAGATTTTTCACCAATTTCTTTGTTACTATGCATAGTGGAATAATATTAATTTATTCGTTTATTTTACTTTTTGCGTGTTTGGAATTGAACGAATAAACTCGCATTATAACAAATTACGACGAAGTTAAAGGTGGTTAAAATAATACTACATTTTAAACGAAACATGAAAAATCATTTACCCGCGTAATTTTAGCATTAATACCTAATGTGTTACAATCTAATATCTCACAGAAAGAGATATTTAATTTAGTTTTAAAAAATTGAATATTTCTCTTGCATTAGATCTAATCATTTAAATTCAAGCAATTTTAAACATTAATGTCATGAATGATTTAATGAAAAATCTTGCTTTATACTTACGAGAAACAACACGAGCGTGAAGAATTGAACGAAATTTCTCCATGGCGTGGTCGAATGATTTTTGGAAGAATTCAAAAAGTACAAGACGCTATTCATGTAAACCACGAAGTTTATGATCAAGAACGTCAGTATCCTTTTACTGAAAAGTTCGTTTAATTCCTTCACCAAGCATACTATGTGATAGTAGATGGTTTTACATAGTTCCATGCGATTTAAAACCTCTGTATTCTTCTGGTTGGGTAAATTACGAAACGTACAGATCAGTTGGGCGAATTCCCTTCGTACTATGCACGAACTCTCCAGTAGAAACAGGGATATTATGAATAATTGGGCGAGAGTTATAATCAAGAAAAACCCAAAGTATTTGACCGCAATCCATTCGCTTAACAAAAACTTTAAATGTACGACTATTGTGATTAATCCAAAGTTCATGCAAAGGAACGAATAAGTTGTAACTCTGGTTTTGGTGGAGTTTAATTTTCGACTCGTAATTTCATTCAATGAAAAAAGTATTTGGTAATACAACTTCCAGCTATTTTTATTTTTCATTAGATCATAGGCAATCGTAAAGTGGAATAAATTGTAAACTAAAATCCATATGGATACGAAAGCAATAACTTCAAAATTGACACCTCTGAGACCTTCTAGTTTATAAATAGGAACTGCTGAAACTATGAATCCTAGTGATAAGCAAATTAACGTGAAGGATTGACAAAAAGCATTCTGGCTTCGATGATTCCAAGGGAATAAGCACAGTATGGCACCGCAACGGTACCAACAATTCAATATAAAGTACTCTTCACTCGTACCACTCATTATTTTAAATGTATCATTATGCCGCATTTACTGTTGCAATAAAATATAAAATTCAAAACTAATGCACATAATTTACGCTTACATGGAATTCAAATTTAGGTGTATTCATCATTTTTTTTATCTAGATTTAACTGTAGAAAGCATTCCAATAAATTGATTTTATACTTACGATGACGAACAGTAGGTACGAAATTTCCACTAAAATTTTCAATGCTAAATGGCTGGTATCGGATTTTTTAGGCAAATTTAACATGAAATCTGTGCTGTCCAAAAACTGTGTTAGTATCATGAAAAGAAATATCGCCAGTTTCTTTCCAAACATAGTGTTTAAATGCGTCATTAATGAATAATTGTTTTTAAATCTAATTTTGATCTGTTTTATATCCTGTACTAAAATACTATTTTTGTAATAGGGGGGTTGAAAACAATTTTGAATTAATTTTCGAAACTCCTTCTCTTCCTTTCTTAGCACCACGGCAATTTCCAGCAGATAACCAGTTGTAGCCATAAATTGCAGTATTTCGATTAGAGTAAAGCTGCCCAAATAAATCGATATATAATAAGTATCCAACCACATCCTTAAATTCGAAAATACAGCGAGAGCTCCCAAATTTAACCAAATTATTGCACGACTTTTCCACTTAAAATTCGAAGCACATTTCGAATGCAACAACAATTTGTAGAAATCTTCCCATGACTTTCCAGTTCGCATTAAAGAATAAATGTTTTCCATCTGGAGAATTGCCAGCCCAATCAAGTCGACTGTAGTAAAGATAATATTATCTAAAAATTCAAAACTGATCGCGATTTTGTAACCACTCGCGCAAATCGCTAATATCAATAAAACTAATGCAACGCCTTGAAAAATGTTATTTCCATGGCATGGAAAAGCTCCCGTAAGCACACCGAAATTGTACCAAAAGTCCAACAAAACGCGTCTAGCTCGGAAGAATTGCGACATATTTTTATACGATAAATTTCAATATGAATGCATAATTTATCAACACTACCATGTACAGAAGTAAAGCGACATTACAAACGAAAATAAATTAGCGGCAAACACGAAATTTCTATTAAAATATTTATTTGTATCCTACAAATTAGTCGTAGTTAAATTACGTACGTAGATATTAAATATTTTTTTGGTTATTTTGATATCATTAGGCAGAAAGCATTAATTTTCTTAATATACAGTGCGATTTTAAATTAAATTATGTAAGTGTTGTACCGCTTTTTTTAAACTTCAAGCATTGTTAAACATGGATTGTCTTAAATTACAAATTTTTGATTATAAAATCATACCTTTCAGACCCATCTTTTGAAACCTACCCTCTAATTAGGTATTAACCCCTTTCACTAGCTACCAATCGTACGGATTTAATAATACGGGTGAAAATAATCTAATCGTTCCTTAGTCACTGCATTTAATAGAGAATTTTTTAATAAGCGGTAATTAAATTCTATGACTTCTATAGCTATTTTGTATGGTTATTTTTAATTCTGTTTTATTTCCCATTGTTAATTTGCTCCTCATAGCTGCAATAAAATTATAAGTACATTACTTAGATAGGTAATAAAAATATACGCGTGTTCATATTGTTCGCCACTTTTTCAATTACGTTCGTATAAGCCGCAAAATTAAATTTTCGAACCACCTATACTTAGTAAACCCATATTCTCATTAATAGAGTATAAAGTTTCGGAAAAAATACATGCACGTGCTGGTACAATGTTCGTTATCAGACAATAGATACCTACTAATTTTTTACAGAACTCGCGTGGCCCAAAAAAATACAAAAACCTAATGCTAGACATCGTATATACGAAAACGCCGAGCTCATGCCATTATCGTCAGAACATCTAATTTCGAATTTTTAACTTAATAGGTAATCTCGGTATCTTTATAGGTACCCACCTAATTTCCAAATTGCCCACCGTGCTTTGCTGCAACGGTCGAATTTAATTCCAGCTCACAATTTCCAAAAGCAAATCTCGCTTTACCCGCCAAGCCGGCCGATTTAGACATTTTTCATTTTTTAATTTCGGTTTTCGGATCGATACCAAGCCGATTATTAGCTTCCTTTTAATCACCTATAGGGATAATTCGATCTAGTTATTTTTTATCCTTGCTTTCTCGATTTAAAATTTCTACCACTATTATAATGATTAACGGAATTCTTTGTAAACTAATTTATAACCTTCCACCTTTTCGGTTACATAATAATCGACCGAAAAAAATCATAATATATTCGACTATTTCCGGATATTCTATTTCGAAAACCCCAAATGGATTCTGGCGAAATTTATTACAGAAATGTCACTTAATTAACGGAGAGGCGAAATTTCACGTCATTATCGAGGGTAAATAACAGCCAGGGAACCTATAATTTAGGTATATTTCTTCCACAGAGGATTTTATTAGCAAGAATCAAAATCCAAGTTAGACTAGAGATGGGACTTATTTACTCAAAATAACTATTTCCTAAGTAAAGATATTTCTACTCACAAGAAGTTCTCTCGATTAGTCGGGAAACCAATTGGTTATATCCGAATAGTGTTGTAGTATTGAAAAAGTCGAGCGTGTTTCGAAATCTTCAGGGTTAAGATAACATGGAACGGCTAGAATAACAGTTATGCGAAAACGTCCCGCAACTCGATGGTAGATGTGGACCTAACGGCAAGGGTGAGACTATCCGCGAGGACCTTAATTTTTGGCGAAAACACCGGGATCTCCGGTCGAAGAACCGTCGGAGACGGCAATCTATTTTCTCGTAGCAACAGGTGATTAAAAAAGCGGCCGGACAGGTGAATTTCACCTGTTGGCACAAGGCCCGACACGCGGCCTCTCGCAACCTCACTCTTGCCCGGTTCTAATACGAGAATCTACTATTAGACCAGCGAGAAAACATGAATGGAATAGCTGATGGTGAAACGAAAAGTGCTGCTCGTAATGCGATGTTTGTTTACGTTTTCAGAAGTAAATTTATCTCCCTAAGGTGTATTAATATAAAACTCCGAATGAAAAATGAACAGAATTCAATTTCAACGTAAAATTATATCTGTTAATTAAAGGGTGTCTGCTCTTAATTGAATTTTTGCGAGGTTCCTAATTACGTCTTGTCAAAATTTTTATACTGGTTTACTTTCTTTAGCAATATTAGCGTCTAGAATTAATTAAATTTTGAGGCCTGTTACTGATCCATATAAAGGACAAGAAGGTTGTTTATGATTTATTACACCTTATTATAGAATAAATATAAGTAAATATGAACTAAAATTTGCAATGTAAAAGGTAATTACAAGAGTTATCTGTAGATGTGAGATGTGATATATTTTCATTGAAATGATACCGGGAAGTATTCGGTATATGATCTGATACCACCGGGAAAATTACCTATAATTTAATTAACAAGTGCCGTGTCGGACAATCAATCATCTTTCGGTAAATATTGTATTTTGCGACCGGGTACGTAGTTATTAAGATCAGATGTAAGTGATACAGTCATTAAGAATTCCGGCAAAGAGAAATGTTATTTATTGTACGTCTTCAGAGAATGGCCGGCTAAATATACCGCGGCCTGTCACGTTAATTGATATTATTCTCTTTTCAAAAGCAAACGAAAATGAAAAATAAAACATCGTTTCATAGTGTAGAGGATGATGTTAATTGCATGTTCGGATCTACAATGTTACTAATTTCCAATCGAAGTATTGGTTTTGCACTTTACAAAACTCGTCTTTAATATTAAGGTGAGACATCTTATATACAGGGTGGCCCAGGACTCACGTCCCACCTGGAAATGCGCCTTATAAAAACAGCTGCGACTATTGATCAAATATTTGCTTCCATATCGACCATTATTTAGGAGCTCCTTCTTGCTGATACCAACTGTACAGAATTTTTTATTGCTTCTAAAGTGTTCGAATCGAATGATCCATTTTTTGATCAATTTATACCTACTATAGCAATTTAAATACATATTTATTGTACTTTTCTAAAAATATTTCTTCATACTTACTTTAGAATTATCAGATAGGATTTATGGGCAATAGATAAGATAATTATCGATAAAACGGTAATAAAAATTAGGAAAATGTTAAAAATATTACACAACTTCTAACTTCGCAAAAATTACTCCTGGTAGATCCCATACATTTCAAAACAATAACGCAGAAATTTTAGAGAAATTACGCAATAACTTGTTTTACCTTCGTTATTTATTCACTATAGAATTATGTAAGAGAATTTCAACTCTTTTTAAAACAGCAATGAACAAAAATTTTAAAAATATTAAAAACATCTTTATTTTTATCCGAATACCTCTACAGTACGAGTCAACAAAATGACAACTGACAGTATTCACCTCAGAAGATTCCTGTAATTATAAATGTCAAATTTACAATCCTAAACATCAAAAAACCCGATAACCTACAAACACGAAAACATGACCTGTGTTATCGCAGTTTATAAAGTAAAAATAAAATTTTTAACGTCACTGATACCGCTCGGCATTGGAAAATAGTTTACATTTAATAAGAGTGGAAGGTGGAAGATTAGCGTTTAGTGTTAAATTGTTAGCGAACGATGAAGGAAGAAAGTTCGATTGTGAGGTTATACCGCACGCCCGGTTGTACGAAGGCAAAGAAAGAAGAAATCCTGCAGAAACTACAGCAAAAATGCGGCAGCTTGAAGGATGTTCGAACCGAAATTTGCTACCACGTCGAAACCCGTAAATCGCTGAAGAACTCCGAATTGGACATGCTAAAATGGGTCCTCCGAGACCCCTTCAGTCCAGAAAATCTAACAGAAAAACCGCAATTGCAACAAGAAACCGGTAAAATTCTAATCGAAGTCGGTCCGAGCTTCAATTTCTCAACATCCAATTCCACGAACGCTGTTTCGATTTGCAACAATCTCGGTTTAAAGCAAATCGTACGACTGGAAGTCTCCCGTAGATATCTACTCGAATTCGGTAAAGGCACTAAAATACCAACAACTCTAGAAAATCAATTAGCTTCACTGCTATACGATCGTATGACGGAATGCCGGTACACCCCCGAGAACATCCCGAAGAAAAGCTTCAATGAGAAACTCACCAAAAAAGAGGACATAAAGGAAATAGACGTGCTAGGTAAAGGCGTAGAAGCTTTAAAAGCTATGGATGCTGAGCTGGGTCTAGCATTCGACGAAGCCGATTTAGTATACTATACTAATTTATTCAAAAATGTCCTCAAAAGGAACCCCACTAACGTAGAGTTGTTCGATGTAGCTCAATCTAACAGCGAACATAGTAGGCACTGGTTTTTCAAAGGTAAAATGATTATCGATGGAACCGAACACGAAGAATCTCTTATAGACATGATCATCGAGACACAAAAGCACACGAATCAAAACAACGTGATTAAATTCAGCGATAACAGCAGGTATATGAAATAATATTAATTATGTTACTTGATACACTAAACTTTATATTTTTTTAGTGCGATTAAAGGATTCCTACACAGGACTTTAAAGCCTGTTACTGCTGGGTCGGTCAGCGAACTCAAACAAGTACCTACGGAGTCGCATTTAATTTTTACGGCTGAAACGCACAATTTCCCTACCGGTGTGGCCCCTTTCAGCGGAGCTACCACGGGTACCGGTGGAAGGATAAGGGATGTGCAGTCAGTCGGTAGGGGTGGCTACTGCATCGCCGGTACGGCTGGATACTCCGTTGGGAATCTTCAAATTCCAGGTCAGATTTCATAATAATTTTCCGATAACCAATACGATATAATTGGTGGGATTATTTCGAATCGAAAGGCTTGGAGATTAACTAAATTTAGACTCGATAAAATCGCGTTTTGTTTGGGAAAAATATTGCTATCGAAAAACATTACTTAATACAAATCTGTTGGGGGTCTTGCAACACGAATTTATGAAATACGAGTATTTTTATGTATATTTAGTTTACACTTTTGTTGGATAGTAATTGAGTAAAGTTTTGCATAATATTTGTTAATTAACATTATCTGATTAATTATAAATGACGATTGTTGCGCTCGCTGTAATAATATAACGAGAATATTAGAAAACTATTATTGTTTTTCAATAACTAACTATTGATAAGAAAATAGTTTTCTATCAAATATTTCCACATTTGTTTATTTGATCACTTAACCCTAATATTGTAGTCAAAATTCTACGGTAATGTTCGTACGTTTTAAAACGACAATGACGTCACAAGCCAGCCTATTGCAACGTTGCCGGGTTGTAATTGAAATCCTCTTTATATGACAGATACATTTAACTATATTAATTAAATATTTTTTACACACACTCAAAAATTACACCAAAAAATCACGAAAACCGCATAGAAAAACGCGGGAGAAACTGTTAAACGTATAGAAACCCCACAAAAACTATTTAAAACGAACGAAAAATACAAAAGTTACTCATAAACTTTAAAAACAAAAACAGAACAAATGCAAAAATTGTTGGAAATCATTTAGAACTGTCTAGATTCATTTCTAATTGCCTAGGACCATTCAGAACGCTCCAGAATTATTTATAACTGTCTAGATTCATTTAGAACGCTCCAGAACCATTCAGAACTCTCTAGAACCCTTTAGAACCTTCCAGAATCATTTTGAACTGTCTGGAATCATTTTGAACTGTCTAAAATCATTTATTTCGCTCCGGAATCGTTTAGAACTGTCTAGGATCATTTAGAATGTTCGAGAATCATTTAGAACATTCCAGAATCATTTTGAACTGTCTAGAATCATTTATATCGTTTAAAACGCCACAGAATCAATTAGAACTCTCCGGGGTCAGTTAGAACGCTCCAAAACCATTTAGGACTCTCTAGAATAATTTAGAAAACTCCAGAATCATTTAGAAAACTCTAGAATCATTAGGAATTAACTAGATTCATTTAGAACGCTAGAGAATCATTTAAAAATGTCTAGAACCCTTTAGAACGTTCCAGAATCATATAGAACTGGCTAGATTCATTTAGAAAGCTGCAGAATCATTTAGAACGCTCCAGAATCATTATACATTGTCCAAAAACGTTTAGAACGCTCCAGAATCATTCAAAAATTTCTAGAACCCTTTATAACGCTTCAGAATCATTTAGAACTATTTAGGATCATTTAAAACGCTCTAGAAAAAGACAAAAATCACTGGGAAAGTCACAAAAACACAAATTGTAATCAAAACCTGTCAACTACAAATAACGATATGGCAACAACGCATCTGCATTTCAACCTCGCTGGATAAAATTCCTTAAAAAAAAAGAATTTATTAAATTATGTCATTGTTATTTTAAACTGTACGAACTTTATGTACCAACAAAAACAACTCTCTTACCAAACATTTATCTCTCTATTATAGGCTACGTTCTTCCATGGGAAGATCAATCCTTCTCCTATCCATCGAACTTCGCCCCGCCATTGGAGATCCTCGTAGAGGCCAGCAACGGCGCTTCGGACTACGGCAACAAATTCGGCGAGCCCCTCATATGCGGTTTCGTCCGAACTTTCGGTCTGAAAGACGCCTCCGGCGAGCGAAAGGAGTGGATCAAACCCATCATGTTCAGCGGCGGCATCGGCTCCATGGAGGCCGATATGACGGAGAAACTAAAACCAGAACCCGGCCATCAGATCGTCAAAATCGGCGGGCCCGTTTACAGGATAGGAGTCGGCGGGGGATCGGCCAGTTCTGTAGAAGTACAGGGAGATAATAAAGAAGATTTGGACTTTAATGCCGTACAAAGAGGTAGGTGTATTTGTGTACAAAATTATTGTATGAAAATGTATTGTGTAATTATTGTATGAAAAATGTATTGTGTATACAGTGTGTGTCACGACGAGGGCCCATTAGAAGTATCTGGAAAAGTAGTGGTAATTAAAATTTGAAAATTTGTGTACAAGTATTAGTCGATGCGCTCTATTCAATGAAAATATTTTCAACTTTTCTTTACTTCCGGTTATACCGGAAGTGGACAGCAACTTTGTTATTTTAAATGGGACACCCCATATATTAATATATTTTCGAAATGTACGCAAAATTTTAGAGTGCTTTTGTCTAAAAAACTTTTTTCAAAAATGCATACTTTTTGAGTTACTATTTTTTTTTGGGAAATTTTGACCGATGCATAACCTTATAAATTATTTTTTTACTGGGATCCCTTTAAAGATATGGATACGGTTTCTGTAGGGTGGGCACTAGCAAGGTCAAAGGTATTTGAATCTGTGTTAAAAAACTTTTTATTTTATACAGGGTGTATACAAAACATGTGAAAAGTTGAACTTCAAAAATACCAAATTATTACCAAAAAATAAGGAAAGTTCATATTTACTTCCCTATATCTAAACCTAATAGGTTTGATGATATTAAAAATTTTACTTAAATCTTACTCTTCTGCCTTATTCTTAAATAACTCTGTGTTACAAGTTGGTCATACAAATTGTTCTTCTGAAGATAGTGATAGAAATAGATAGAAATATTCCGAAATAGAATTTAAAAATCGGTTAAGATTGAAGAAAGATTCGGTTAGTTGGTATAACCGCTGGAATACGGTTATTATAGTTATTTACTTATTCAAATATACAAATTTTACATTTATACTAAGTTAGTAATTTGTGGTTATTTATTCCGCATGAAGTTAGGAATAATATCATAATACCAACTTAATCTTGGTTATTTAAAAAAAAACTGTTTGTTTACTATCAGTTGCTTCAAATATTGTGGTGAATAACTATAATATTGTAAACCTTCTGTTAAATTTTATTACACTGACAGTTATCAGGTTGGTAAGCTGAAATTGGTGAATACGGGCGTGTGTAGGTACACTATTTAATTAAATTAAAACCATTAATTTCGATTGTTAATTACCAGGTGATGCTGAAATGGAGAACAAATTGAACCGAGTGGTTCGAGCCTGCTTGGAATTGGGGCGAAAGAACCCCATCGTGAGCATCCACGATCAAGGAGCCGGCGGGAACGGTAACGTCCTGAAAGAATTGGTGGAACCGATCGGTGGAGTAATTTACGCGAACAAGTTCGAATTGGGCGATCCGACGATTAATATACTCGAATTGTGGGGGGCTGAATATCAGGAAAACAACGCGTTGTTGTGTAAAAAGAAGGACGTGCCGTTGTTGAAGAGCATTTGCGATAGAGAAAGGTGTCCCGTGAATTTCGTCGGGGAAGTTACCGGTACTGGAAAGGTCGTGTTGGCTTTGGACGAGAGTAAAGCGGTGACGCCTTTTAATTTGGAACTGGAGCATGTTTTAGGTAATTATTAACTAGCTAATATTAGCGCCAAAGCGCGCATTCAAATTTATAATTCGTGGGGTAATATAGAACTACAGTTGGTGCCAAACAAATATCAATTCACGTCACTACTGTTGTTATACTTGCCAAGCATTGTGGCCAACTTTTAAAAGTAAATACACAAATAGATTAAGCCTAATACCTGCAGAATTTATTTTAATATTAATAAGGGAAGATAAAAAATGTTAAAAAGCAGAATTAAATCATCTAAAAAAACATGTATTGTTAAAATTCAACGTTTGTGTATAAAATTATTATTATTTTCTTATAGCAGGTTGGTAGGCACTGACTGTCAAATTGCATAGTTGCCGTTGTCGTCCGATCGGTAGTTTTAATTTTTAATTTCTTCGTCTATTTTCTAGTTTACTAGCCTCAACTACTAAAGGCTACTCGGCCGAATAATCAAGAAATAAGAATTTTTTGAGTAGTTATCATTTCCACATGTTAGAATTGACAAAATTTGAACTCTAAATAATTCAGATTCGGAAGTTTTCTCAGAAATTTCACTATGTATTCTTTTAAGTGTGAATTGTACACTAAATTTGTAAATATTGTGTAATTCTAAAGACTTTCTAAATTCTATGAAAGTTCGGCAACACTGCCTACTTGTGACGTAGTAAATCATAGGTGACGTGCATTGATATTTGTTTTGCGCCAACTGTATTTCTAAATGTTTACAATTTTGCTAAAATTTTTCAACAATAGATGGGATGAGAATAGTTAAACTATTAGATGTTCCGTGTTTGAATACACTTGAAATAAATTCAAACGTACAACAATGTAAAATAAGAAATCCTTTTCAGAATTTTTCCATTTCAATTCTTTTCCCTGCAATTTAAAAGGATTAAAGTAGTGTTTTACAAATAGTTATTAAAGTGCTCGTAAAGTATCCCGACGCAATTTTCGGTAAAATTTTCAAAATTGTAAATATATAATGAAGTAGGAGAGATTAAAAATAGGAGATATCATTGATTGGAGTCTCTACATAAGGTAAAAAAAAGATTCAAATCAATCGATGAAGCCAAATTTGAATCTTACTAGAATTACTAAACCTATGTTGTCCCATTTAAAAATACCCCGAAGTGGTACCCTTAATATGTTTGTTTTTATGTTTTTAGGTAAAATGCCGAGAAAGGTATTTAAATTACAACGTAAATCGACTTTGCACAAACCGATCGAACTACCCAGAGCTCTCTCGATATACCAATCCTTAGAAAGAGTACTGAGGTTGCCATCTGTAGCTTGTAAAAGATACCTCACTAATAAAGTCGATCGTTGCGTTACCGGCTTGGTAGCTCAACAACAATGCGTCGGGCCATTACACACTCCTCTAGCCGATGTTGCCGTAACAGCCATTTCTCATTTCGGTTATGTAAGTACAACACACTACAAGGGTAAGGTGAAATGTTCTCGGCTTGTACACTGAAGGCGCTCGAATCCGATACAAAATTCTGATTTCCTCTTTAGGTCATTTTAAACCTGCCTAGAACCATTTAGAACGCTTCAGAATCATTTAGAACTGTATAACCATTTAGAACACTATGAGGGTAGGGAGAAATATTCTCGGCCTGTACACCGAGAGCGCTCTAATCCAGTACAAAATTCTTGTTGACCTCTTTATGGCATTTATGATTAATTCTAGAACTGTCTAATAGAACCATTTAGAATCCTTCAGAAGCATTTAGAACGCTCCAGGATCATTTAAACCTGCCTAGAACCATTTAGAACGCTCCATAGTCATTTAGACCAATCCAGAAATATTTAGAACGCTCCATAGTCATTTAGACCAATCCAGAAATATTTAGAACGCTCCATAGTCATTTAGACCAATCCAGAAAAATTTTCGAACGCTCCATAGTCATTTAGACCGCTCCAGAAACATTTACAACTGTCAACCATTAAGAAAGCTCCAGGATCATTTAGAACTGCGTAGAATTATTTATAACGCTCCAGAATCACTTAGAACTGTCTGGAACCTTTTAGAACGCTCCAGAATCATTTAGAATTGACTAGATCCATTTAGAACGCTCCATAAACATTTAGAATGGTCTAGAAATATTTAGAAGGCTCCACAATCATTTACGACTATCTAAAACCATTTAGATAGAACTATCTAAAACCTATAGAACATTCCTGGATATTATAGAACTGTGTAGAACCATTTCGATCGCTTCAGAATCATTTATAATTAACTAGATACACTCAGAATTCTCCGGAATCCTTTAAAACTGTCTAGAGCCATTTAGAACGCTTCAGAAGTATTAAAAACTGTAAAGACCATTTAGAATGCTCCGTAGTCATTTAGAACGATCTAGAACTATTTAGAACGCTCCAGAAACATTTAGAACTATCTACATAGAACCATTTAGATAGCTCCCGAATCATTTAGAACCCTTTAAAATCATTTAGAAATATATAGATTTAGATCTATCCATTAGAATTGTCTAGAACCATTTAGAACGCTCCACAACTATTTAAAACTGTCTAGAACAATCCAGAACGTCCCAGCATCATTTAGAACTGTCTTGAACCAAAGATATTAACTTACTAAGAATAATTCATTTTTCAACTGGAAATGGCGGTCTTTCATCGACAGGCCGAAAACTTCACCTGACCCTCGTACATCCTAAATTAGTTTATTATCACGCTCACGTACATTTTCAGGAAGGTATCGCTTCTTCAATCGGCGAACAACCGATCAAAGGACTAGTCAATACGGAAGCCGGAGCTCGAATGACAGTCGCAGAAGCGCTCAGTAATCTCGTATTCGCCGGTATTACCGATTTGCGGGACGTCAAATGCAGCGGTAACTGGATGTGGGCGGCCAAATTGCCGGGAGAGGGCGCTGCTCTGTTCGACGCTTGCAAGGCAATGTGCGATTTGATGTCCCAATTGGGCATCGCTATAGACGGCGGGAAGGATTCCCTAAGTATGGCCGCTCGCGTGGGCAAAGACACCATCAAAGCTCCCGGAACTTTGGTTGTTTCCACTTACGCGCCGTGTCCGGACGTTAGAAGGGTCGTGACGCCTGGTAAGTTGTGCACATATAAGTAAAAGAATCATATGAACGACTGGCAGATTATTCAAAATGCAAAGTTCATTTGCCAAGTAATTTTTCCAAATGCATAATAAGAAAATAAATGTTCGGCTAAAATAAAAGACGCGCAGTAATTTAATAAATGCTCAGTTGAAAATTAACAAGCTCAGTTAAATAATAAATATTCTGCTAAAAAAGGTGTTTAATAATTTAATGAAAAGGTAGTGTTGTTGATGTTGAGTATATGAGTTAATTATGTAGTTTGCATTACGTATCAAGGATAACGATGGCGAAATTAAGGATAGCGATCGTTAATTAAGAAACTATGATATTGGGGAAAGTTTGATAGAAAAATGTTATCAATTGATTTTAGGGGCGTTTTGACGAGAGGTCGAATAAAAAAGTTATCCGAGGCTTCAGACTTTCTTTTGAATTACTCAACACAAGATACTACATTTATATATATATTTTTAGTGCAAATCTTATTAAAATATTGAACGTAATTTACTATGTACATTGAATATTCTGTATTGCGATTTTTTAATAATTATTAGGCACTTTTCATTATTTAACCATGCATTTGTATTTTTTTAACTGAGCGTTTATTATTTTTTGCCGAGCAAAATGCATTTTTCAGCTCCCGCATCATTTAGAACGCTCTATAACCATTTAGAACGGTCCAGAATCATTAAGAATCGTCTAGGCGATTTATAGCGTTTCAGAATCATTTAGAACAGTCTAGAACTGATTAGAAATCATCTAGAATCATTTAGAACACTCCATAGTTATTTATAACGCTCCAGAATCTGTCTAAAACCATTTAGAACAATTCAGAAACATTAAGACCGCTTAGAACTGTTTAGAATCGCCTAAAACTCTCCAGAAAAAGACAAAAATTGTTTATCGCTCTAGAGCGATTTAGTACTTTAGAACCATTAAGAACACGCCAGAATCATCTAAACCTGTCTAGAACCATTTGGAACGCTCCAGAACCATTTAGAACTGTCTAGATTCATTTAGAATGCTCCAGAATTATTTAGAACTGACTAGTTCCATTTACGCTAAGAATTATTTATAGCTGTCTAGAGCGATTTATAGCGCTCCAGAATCCATTAGAACACTCTAGAATCATTTAGAACGCTCCAGAATCATTTAGAACGATCTAGAACCGTGTAAAACCATTTAGAACGCTCTAAAATCATTATAAATTGTCTAGGGCGATTTAGAACTCTCCAGAATAATTTATAACTGTCTAGAACCATTTAGAACTCTCCAGAATAATTTAGAACAGTCTAAATTGGAACCATTTAGTTCCAAATTGAATATTTTGTATTGCGATTTTTAATAATTATTAGGCATTCATTATTTAACCGTACATTTTAAATTTTTTAACCGAGCGTTTATTATTTTTTTGCCGATCAAAATGCATTTTTCAGTCGAGCCCAAATTCACACATTAAGTAAAATCGTTGTAAATAAAACGTTTGTTTTGTAGATTTCAAAGCCCCTTCGATGGGTAAACGAGGTACCGTGCTCTTCGTGGATCTCTCGCGTGATTACAACCGTTTGGGCGGTTCGGCGCTAGCCCAAGCTTTCGGGCAATTGGGAGACGCATCGCCCGATCTCAACAGTGCGCAGGACTTGATAAACGCCTTCAATGCCACTCAACAATTAGTCAAAGATGGATCGATTTTAGCCGGACACGATGTATCCGATGGTGGATTGATTGTGTGTCTTTTAGAGATGTGTTTCGCCGGTTTGGCCGGTATGGAAATCGACATACAACATCGACAGGGTAAACCGTTGGAAATTCTGTTTTCCGAAGAGGTCGGTTGGATTTTGGAAGTGCTGGAAAGTGACGTCGGTCATTGTATGGAAGTATTTAATGTGAGTACCGATCATTTTTACGCGAATATTTAGTTTCCTGCAAAAAACTTAGGATAATGGGGGCGACATATTTAGGTTAATAAAAAAATATAGCACGTTAGGTAACCGAAATATTAATAAAATCATTCGTTTTACTGGAATTTAATATCTAAGCAATGCATGAAAAGAAACTACAAATTAGAAATGCTGAGCATTAAATTTTTGTATTTTTTATTAATGTCCAACAATAGTCTCCTAGCACATCATGTAGAACTGTCTAGAATCATTTAGAACGGTCTAGAACCATCTATAACGCTTCGGAATCATTTAGAAAGGTCTAGAACCATTTATAACGCTCCAGAATCATTTAGAATTGACTAGATCCATTTAGAACATTCCGTACAGATTTAGAATTGCCTAGAACTATTTAAAAGGCTCCACAATCATTTACAACTGTCTAAAACCATTTAGAACGCTCCTGGATATTATAGAACTGTGTAGAACCATTTAGAACACTTCAGAATCATTTAGAAAGGTCTAGAACCATTTATAACGTTTTAGAATCATTTAGAAAGCTCCACATCCATTTAGAACGCTTCAGAACCATTTAGAACAGTCTGTGCATTATCGATACCAAATTTCAAACTTCTAGGTGCATTATTAACAAAGATATAAAAATGTTGTGTGTTGTGTGTTATTTATCATAAATTTAATTGTAGAGTAACAACGTACCTGTATATAAAATCGGCAACTCAGTTGGGTACGGCATAAAATCGAAAATAAGCATAGCAGTGAACAATACATGCCTCGAAAGTACAGTATTTCCTCTAATGAAAATGTGGGAAGAAACCAGCTACAGGTAACTAAATACACACTTTAAATCATCTCCAATGATTTTAACAAAACATTTCCAGATTGGAGCTACATCAAACCATCATGTCGTGCGCGAATTCGGAATTCCACAGTCTCCAAAACAGAACCGGTCCCAAATATGTTCTAACATTCGATCCCGACGAGGATAAGATCGTGAAAGACGAGTTAGTACCGGTAGCTGTAATAAGAGAAGAAGGTACCAACGGCGACAGAGAAATGGCTGCGGCTTTAATCAGGGCAGGATTTAAAGTGTGGGATATCACGATGCAGGATTTGGTGAGCGGGGTGGCCAATTTGGACAGATTTAGAGGCGTCATATTCCCCGGAGGATTCAGTTATGCCGGTATGTTACTTAGAGGTCATACGTTTTAAAATGAGAATGACGTCACGTACTAGCCTTTTGCAACGTTGCCGGGTTGTAATTGAAATAATTTATATGACAGATATATTTAATTTTAAGGTAATGTTTACTTTTAACGTTTACAAATTAAAAAAGGTCACAAATAGTAAAATTTAAAGATGAAAAAGAACAGCGGGGGGAGATACGAACTCGCGAGTAGTAATTTAATTGATTTTATTATAATACACACGCTCGAAAATTACATTAAAAAAATCACGAAAACGCATAGAAAAACGCGGGAGAAATTGATAAACGTACAGAAACCGCACGAAAAACTATCTAAAACGGACCAAAATAAACAAAAACTACTCGTAACCTTAAAAAATAAAAATAAAACAAATGCAAATAAATGCTGCGACTCGTTTAGAACGCTCCAGATTCATTTAAAATCGTTTAGGGCGCTCCAGAACCATTTAGAACTGTCTAGAATCATTTAGAACGGTCCAGAATCATTTAGAACCCTCCATAATAATTTGGAACGCTTCAGAATCATTTAGAACCCTCCAGACTCATTTAGAACGCTTCAGAATCATTTAAAATCATTTAGGACGCTCTAGAATCATTTAGAATTGTCTAGCATTATTTAGAACTCTCCACAAACATTTAGAATTGTCTAGAACTATTTGGAACGCTCCACCATCATATAGAACTGTCTATAATCAATTAGATTGCTCCAGAATCATTTACAATTTTTTAGAATCATTTAGAAAGCTCCAGAATCATTTAGAATGCTCCAGAATCATTTACAATTGTTTAGAATCATTTAGAAAGTTCCAGAATCATTAAGAATTGAAAAGAACACTCCAGAATCATTTGGAACTGTATACAACCATTTAGAACGCTCCAGAATCATTTAGAACTGTCTAGGATCATTCAGAACACTCCAGAATCAATTAGAAGTGTCTAGAATCATTTAGAACGCTATAGAACCATTTAGAAAGTCACAAAAACACAAATTGTAGTCAAAACCTGTCAACTACAAATACCCGAATTTTGAAACTAACGATATGGCAACAACGCATCGGCAATTCAATCGTGTCTGAAGTAAAATTCCCCTAGTCAAATGGCAGAATTAACATTTGTACTAGGGACATTTTGAACTGCGCGGAAATTACTAAAAATAACGTCACTGTCATTTAAAAACGTACGAACTTTAAATCCCAAGTACACATTTTAAGTGTATAACTCGTATTTTGCAGACGTATTGGGTTCAGCCAAAGGCTGGGCCGGTAGCATAATGTTCAACGATCAAATACGAGAGCAGTTCAACAAATTCTTCGCACGACCGGACACTTTCAGCTTCGGAACGTGCAACGGTTGCCAATTGATGGCCATGATCGGTTGGGTAGGCACTCCTATCAAGCAAGGGGAAAAACCCGATATCATGCTGGAGCACAATTTCTCCGAACGGTTCGAATGCAGGTGGAGTACAATCAAAATCGAAAATTCCAAAGCTATCATGCTGAAAGATATGGACGAATCCATATTCGGCGTTTGGGTAAGAAAAAATCTAATATTAATAATATTAATTAAGTATACAGTGTGTCCCATGACGAGGGTACTTTTAGGGTACTTTTGTCAAAATCACTTTTTTCAAAAATGCATACTTCTTGAGTTATTATTTTTTTTTGAAAAATTTGACCGATGCTGACTCTTATAAATTATTTTTTAATAATTCAATATTATTCTCTACTGAATTATTTTTTCTGTACGCTAAATTAGATATAATGATTGAGATAGTCTATGACAAATTAACCCTTTCTTTGTTTTTGCTTTTTGACATTTGGTTTCATTCTTTGGTCAATAATTAAGAATTGAATCGTTGTGTGTTACTAATTGATACACTTTGTTTACTAAAAAATGGCATTCAAATATTCAATTGCTGAATATGCTGATATTATTTTTGTTTACGAATTTTGCAGTGGCAAATGGATTTCATTTTGAACATGTTTTATAATGTAGAATAGATTTTTTATTAAATTATTGTGTTTATCGTTAGTTTTTGAACAGTTATTATCATGCGCGTTGAATATTTTTTATTGAATTAATTTTAAGATTTTTTTTGTAATTTTAGGACTTTTTCATAGAAAGGAATATGGAATTAGTCGTTTTTACTAATTTTCATTAAAATTTGTACGATAGAAAATATTATTTTAATGTAAATTATTCGGTTATCCTAAATGTGTAATTTTTCATAAAAGTTAATTGATAATTGACAATTTAAAGAAAGTGTGGCAAAAATTTCCGATGTTCAGGCTTTATTAGTTATTTATACCTTTTACATTAACCAAATGAAAATTTAGAAAAAGTGTATACAGGGTGAAGTATTAAGTTTGTAAATATTTACCTCTTTTTTTTTAAGACGGTCCTGAAATTTTTTAATTCTGAATATGCCAGTGTGTTGCTGGTTCAAAATGTATACTTTTACAAAAAAATGAACCAAATCGAAATAACCACCATAAAGATCTTCTCTTTAGAGAAGATGCCGATGGAACTTTTAATGGTCGTATGTTATTCACCTTATGTGCCTCTATACACTGTTAAAGTATGTACGATTCCTCACGACTCACCCTGTATGTAAACCAAATTTTATTTAAATCGGATAAGTAGTTTCCCATATACAGCTAGTTTTAACTCGTCGTGGGACACCCTGTATAATGTTTATATTTTTTTTGTAGACTTCTCACGGTGAAGGAAGATTCGTATTCAAAAACGAAAGTATTTACAAGGAGTTGGTGCGCAATAAACTCGTAGCTTTGCGATACGTAGACGACGACGGGTTTCCCACGGAGGTCTACCCGATGAATCCCAACGGTAGCGTCGAAGGTCTAGCGGGAGTTTGTTCTCCCGACGGTAGACATTTGGCCATGATGCCGCATCCCGAACGGTGCGCCCAGCCGTTCCAATGTCCCTATTTACCGCAGAATTGGACGCACTACAAGAAAAGTCCGTGGGAGAAGATGTTTACGAACGCTTACGAGTGGTGCAAAAGCAACAAGTTCCAGAACGTTTACTATTGATGGTAAAATCGAGTACATCGCAGAGTAATAATGATGATGATGAATATATTTTTGTACGTACTAGTTTATTGCAATTATAATTTTAGAGGGATCGTTGAGAATTTTTATAATATTTTTATATTCATTGTTGAACTATTTGCTGTTTTCTAGTTTTGGAAAATGTGCAATTCGATTTTGCAGTTTATGATTAAATTTTACACATTAAAATGCGTTTTTTTCTAATGAGAGCAATTACACTTTTTAAATCTACATATTTTATTTTTCCAGCAAAATACTTAGGATAATGGGAGTGGTGTAGTTTTCTAGAGATTTAAAATGCTTTAGAACCATCTAGAACGATACAGATTCATTTAGAACTGTCTCGAACCATTTAGAAAGCTCTGAAATCATTTATAACGCTCCAGAAATATTTAGAATGCTGCAGAACCATTTAAAACGCTTCAAAATCATTTAGAACTCTACAAACATTTGTAACGCTCCAGAAGTATTTAGAATTGTCAGCAGCCATTTTGGAACGCTTCAGAAACATTTATGTTGCTGCAGAACCATTCAAAACGCTCCTGAATCATTTAGAACTGTCTAGAAAGATTTAGAATGCTCTAGAACCATTTAGAACGATACAGATTCATTTAGAACTGTCTCGAACCATTTAGAAATCTCTACAATCATTTATAAGGCTCCAGAAACATTTAGAATACTGCCGAATCAATTAAAACGATTCAGAATCATTTAAAACGATTCATTTAGAACGGTCTACAAAATGTCTAGAACCCTTTAGAACGTTACAGAATCAAATACAACTGGCTAGATTCATTTAGAATGCTGCAGAACCATTTAAAAAGCTCGAGAATCAGTTAGAACGTTCCAGAACCATTTAGAACTGTCTACAAACATTTATAACGATCCAGAAACATTTAGAATTGTCAGCAACATTTAGAACGCTCCAGAAACATTTATAGTTGTCAGCAACATTCAGAACGCTCTGGAAACATTTAGAATTGTCAGTAACCATTTAGAATGTTCCAGAAACATTTAGAATGCTCCAGAACCATTCATACACTCTAGAACCATTTATAAAACTGTCAACAAACATTTAGAACGCTCCAGAAACATTTAAAACTGTAGAATCCTCCAGAATCATTTAAAACTTTCTAGAACGATTTAAAACGCTCTAGAATTATTTAGAAATGTCTAGAAACATTTAGAATGGACTTGAACAAATTAAAGAAACTAGACGTACTAATTTTTTTGACGGCATATTTGGAATAAGCGAGCCAAATTATAATAAATTATTATAATAAAAAAGTGTAAAATTTATAATCAATCTTACTACAATAAGGTGTATCTACTTATATTAAAAACCCGTACTATATGTTTTAAGTAATTTTAATAAACATATTCACCGGTAACAAAAACGGGCAAAATCCCGAAAATGGTAATAATTTCGATGTACATATGAAGAGCAGTCATAATATCTTCATCAGTTTGCATGGCGTATTTCCCCTTTCCCACCATCAACTGGAATTGTTGTATTAAAAAAAGGCACAAGCACGGCACTAACATGTAACAAAATATGAAAATCAAAAAAGAGCTGCCTGTAGCCCAATTGTAAATAATGGCGATAATATAAAAAATGAACGTAGAGCTCATCAGGGACTCGATCAGGAAGAAACAAGCCGTAAAATCGCAACAAAAAAAATGCGATATAAGCAGAATGAGCACCAGTATGATTATCGTTTCGCATAAACTGATTAAAAACAATTTGTTTGTTCTGTACATGGCGTGCTGCAAACCGAGTATGTAGCCCGTTAATATGCAATAAGCAATCACCGCTGCGTAATTGTTGGGCTTCTCCCTCCGAAATTGCTGTACGCAAATGATCATAAAGTATATACAAAAATCGACGATAAGAACTGGATACATTATCATTGGATAGGATAACACGAAATTGTTCAGAAACTCAACGAAAACGATCGCGGATGATACGAACATGGTCAATCCCAGTTGTAAACCAAGAAAGCCTAATAAATAAAGGAAACTAATGGGCTGGATATTCAAATTCGCGCCCATTATGACTTGCGGATATCTCTCGTTAGATTCATCGTATAAATTAACGGTAACTCGTGTGGGATAAAGCAATATGTTTGTTAAAGGGATCACTGTGGCTTCGAAATGTTCGCAATATGGAATAGGCGGGCATTTTTCGTCTAAGTTGTATACAGTTTTACCGTCTTTGCTACTTATAATTCCAGGTCCAGTTTCCTTGTCTTCGGTTTTTGTATTACCCGCCAATATTCTTTCATAACTGCCGCTTTGCACCGCTTCATCTGCTAACTTTACATCGGTTATTTCGCTCCTCTCAGTAACTTCTTCGAATTCATTAACGTTTAAACTTTGTATTAGCTCTAGGAGAATATCTCGAATGTGTTGTTCGATGTGATCGGGCGATGACATAGTATTTATTCAACGATTAATCAATATTTGAAAGACGTCATTCAATTCAATTCTTCAATTTGTTTTTTTCTTCTTCTGGTCTTCAAACTGGTTAACGAGTAAATGACACAAATGAATCTTTGGAGTCCCTATTATGGCCCCTGGAGACATAAACAAGCATCCATTGAGAATTACCGAGTCCTTCATCAAAGGACTCGGACACCCGTGTGCTCAATTTGTTGATAAAATGAATCCTTCACTCTCTGGAGGACAGTGGAGGCGTGTTCCCAGCGATTAACAAAAAATTCCTGGTTCCCAATTAATGCTGAATACCATCTTTAAATTGTTGAAGGATGAGGTAACAAATTATTAAATGTTTTTCGAACATAGGAATAAGTCTTCGACGAATAAAAATATAGAGTCACTGCAAATGCTCTAATATCAGGAGACTACTTCGCATTTTTTGATTTTAGATGTCTCTTTAATATGTTTTACTTGGTTTGGTATTCCATCCTGCAATTAAGAACATTCTAATCAAAATTTTTCAATTGACTAAGAAAAAAATTGTTAACTTTCCATCAATTCCTTTTGTACAGTTTTAGATATCTTGTTTTTGTCAACTAAATGTTGAAGTAACTCCTTAAAATTATTAATAACTTTGTGCAAGCGACATTTTTGTACCCTAAGAACCTTTATTTTCTTCCTTTGAGAAGAGATTGTATGGTTAATCATATCCAGGCTTCTTTTCGCTTTTTGAGGAGTAGAGAAGTGCTGAATAGTTAAATCGCCAACATAACGAGCATCAGGCACGGTATCTAAAACATTTGTTTTAATACTTAACAAATAGTTTTAAGAGAATAGTAATTAAGAAAAATGCATTTAATACTTACCAGGTTGTTCAACATTTAGACTATTTAGAGTTGTTATCTCATTTTCACTACAAGTAGGTGTTTCATTTTTGAAGGTATCGAGTAATGCTAAAAATAATAAACACTTAATATTTATACTCTACTTTTTTTTAGTATAGTAGCTATTTTAGTAAATACAAAAAGATACAATAGGATAGCGAATTTAACTTACGAGGTTCATCAATATTTGTAGATGTACCGTTGGTACTTTGTGAAGGTACTTCGATTTTTATTCGACAAGAGAGTACTAAAAATAAGACTTAGAATTACTATACCTATAATTATATTATATTATTATTTGTAGTCTTTGAAAATAGTAGCTATTTTAGTAAATACAAAAAGATACAATAGGCTAGCGAATTTAACTTACGAGGTTCATCAATATTTGTAGATGTACCGTTGGTACTTTGTGAAGGTACTTCACTTTTTATTCGACCAGAAAGTGCTAAAAAGAAGACTTAAAATTACTATTCCTATAATTATATTATATTATTATTTGTAGTCTTTGAAAATAGTAGCTATTTTAGTAAATACAAAAAGATACAATAGGATAGCGCATTTAACTTACGAGGTTCATCAATATTTGTAGATGTACCGTTGGTACTTTGTGAAGGTACTTCACTTTTTATTCGACCAGAAAGTGCTAAAAAGAAGACTTAAAATTACTATTCCTATAATTATATTATATTATTATTTGTAGTCTTTGAAAGTAGTAGCTATTTTAGTAAATACAAAAAGATACAATAGGATAGCGCATTTAACTTACGAGGTTCATCAATATTTGTAGATGTACCATTGGTACTTTGTGAAGGTACTTCCCTTTTTATTCGACCAGAAAGTGCTAAAAATAAGACTTAAAATTACTATTCCTATAATTATTTTATTATTCGTGCTACTTACCACTTGAACTTTCTTGCTTATGTTTATGAAATGGTGATATGCTTGGTACCGCATGAGGGAAAAGTCGTTTCTTGAAAAAACTTTCATCATAGTCATCCTCTTTAAAATGTTTGGAACAAATCCTAGCACTGCTTGGAATATTACTTTCCTCTATATCACACACATTTGCCCATTTTTTAAGCAATTCTTTATTCGTAGGAAATCTATAATAACAACAGATGAGGTAAATTTAAAAGGATTCATAGACTATACGCTATTTTAAAGCATTTAAAAATCAAAATACAACATAATTAAATACAATTAAAAATAAGTAAACATACCTATGAAAGGACAGCCAACTCTCCACTGCATTTTTAGCTCCACATACAAAGCACTTCATTTTATAATGTTTTCACTCAAGTCTATATAAAAAATGAAAATAATACTATAACTTTTAAAATCGCAAACACAAACCAATCCAATAATCAAAAATCCAAGGCAAAGGCAAATAATAATAATAATAATAACATGCTATGACAGTTATGAAGCATATGTCAAATGTCATAATGTCATGTCAATTGTCAATGCCAGTGCCAGAAATATGGCCGAATAGTCCTGGCAGCTGAGGCCAAGAATTTAAAAAGAAGAAGTAGTGCCAGAAAAGCACACCAAACATCAACTATCAACATTGCTAATTGTCCAAATAGCTAGTTCTTATTTCCACTTTTCTTTTACTTTTAGTTTAGCAAACTCCCCGTCTTTCGAACGTTCGTTTAAAGCGCCAAACAATTCTGCGACGGGTCTCGGAATTATTATGGAAAAAGCGGGAAATGGGCAATTTTAAATATGTAGTATTTATGGTTTAAAACACCTAGCTGTCTCAAATTTTCACTATCGTACGTCTAAAATCTTTCAAATTGCTGCGAATAATCCTTTTTTTGACTTTGCCATTCTGTAGCTTTTTTATTTTCAATACTTTACTCAAGCAAGTTGTCTCAGATCGTAATATATTGAGGTCGAGAATCTTCCATTTCAGTTTGGGACTTACGGACCACCCTGTATATAATAAAAGGGCATAGATAAGCCCGTCAGAGCCTAGTCAAAGTTCGCCTGCACCTTCAGTTAGTAGTAAATGACACAAAAAGCAATGATTTCTTTGATTATATTGCAATAATTTTTTAAAACATTCAAATACAATAATCACCTATAGCAAGACATTTATTTCCTCGGTGGACCTGCCATCATTATGGGTAAAGCCGTGAATAAAATAACCAACGGTATGTAGAGAGTCACCGATGCTAAAATGTATTCATCAGTATGTATAGCATACTTTCCTTTTCCCAGCAACAACTGAAACTGGTGTAGAAGAGACACAGACGTTAACAGTAAGAACAAACACACGAAAGCGTACAAGACAATGGTACCTCCGGTGGCCCAATAGTACACGAACCCGAGTATAAACAGCACCACTCCGCTGATCAGTAGAGTATCAACCAGCAAATATCGGCCGGTAATATCGCAACAGGGCATGCAGGACAGCAATGATATCAGCATGGCTATGAGCACGGTTACGCTCAAACTTATTAGTAACAGTTTCGTAGTGCTGAATTTGGCGTGTGTGATGCTTATAAGGTAACTCGTGCATAGAGTAAACGAACCCAGTATGATGAAATTGAGTGGTACATTTTGCCTAGCTTTTTTCGAGCAAAGCAACGCCACAAACAGATAAAATTCTGTTGACAGTACTAATAAAGTCGCCAATTCAGATGCTGATATTATCTTTCTCAACTCATCTATGTAGAAGCAGGCGAATACTATGGAAAACGTTACTACAATTTGTATGGAAAGGATCGTCATGATGTCGATGAAAAAATCTTTTCTGTCTTCGTCTTCTGTATGGAAAACGAGTCTATCATCGGGTGCTCCGTCGCCTTCAACCGTTTCGACGGCATACACCAGAAATTCCTGATGCATGCCTCTGGAAGCGTCGTAAAGAGGAACAGGCGGGCAGATGTCTTCCAGATTAATTATCATTTTACCGTCGACGCTGCATATTATTCCCGGTCCTGAGTACTTGTTTTTCTTGGTAAATGGCAGCGATTGGTGAATAATGCTTTCCATTATTTCGTTACCTGAGTGTTTACCTTCAGGTGGTTCCGACATTTTATTCTTCGCTATTATTTCTAATCTCTATTTCAAATTTGTACTACTATACGATTTTCCAAAAGTCTCGTGGATATCGACAATAGGGCATCTAAACATTATGTTAACGTTTTAAAACATACCAATAAAGTTGATGTGAATAAATAATATAGAAATGTCAACATTAACGTGACGTGTAAAGTTGGTATAATGGATGTGTTCAGAAAAAGAAAATCTTCTCTTTAAATTGCATTTTGATAGAGGATAATAAAATTGATCGATATGTCATAAAGTATATATTATTAACATCAAACTTAAAAACTTAGCACTACCTTTTCCTACTAGAATTAAAATTATCCTAAATAAACCAACAACAAAAATTGTCTAATATACCAAATAAATAATCAAACTTAACTTAATAATTGCTAAACATTTCCTCTATTAATTCATCTAAAACAACCGATTAAATAAAAAAAAATGCCTGAAAGCCGTAATGTAATTAATGTTATGTTCCACCATGAGCTTTTATAGAATTGAGCGTCTTAGCGATATGTCTGAGCGTACTTTGAGGCACGACTTCAAGCAGCGTCTTATGGAACATCGGATGTACCATTAAATGCGACAGCATTTCCTTACCGTGACTCCTGGCCTCCACACTCCCATCGGCCAAAGAATTCGCCCCTGCCAGGATAATCTTGTCTCTCACCTGCAAAACCCCAAACTAACCAAACGAAAACTCTCATAACCATAAATACATACATCTTTGTTCATTTGGAAAATCTTATCAGACCCGTGTCGTTTCACCAAATCGGTTATCAGTCTTATCGAGGCGGCGCGCACGATGCTGTTCTGGTGCGTGCAGCCCCTGGAAGTGATTACTGCGACGACCCTGCTGATGGGAAGGTGCTCGCACATTTGGTCTAATGCAGCGTTGGCGTCGGATCGCAGGAATTTGTTGGTATCAGCCGTGCGGTGGAGAAGAGGCCCGGCGATTTCTTCCAGCTCCTGCAAAATCCCGACAATTTAAACCTTTCAAAGCTCGCAGGAATTTACTTACTATTTCCAGGGATCTTCTGCAGGAGGCGAACAGCTCGGTGGCGGTGTGGCAGGCCGCCCGGGCCACTTGCGATCTCAGGTTCTTTATGTGCTTGGCTAGGTTCACGCAGACTGTGTGTATCTGTCCTTCGATGACTTCTGGATGGTACTTCGCTATCCTGGATAGGCTCTGTAAGCCGAGTATCATCACTTCCCATTCGGTATTGCTCAATTGGTTCAGTGCTAGTTGTAAAGTGTCTTTCAATTTGATGTTGCTCCTCGAGGAATTTGGAGTGGGTTCTCTAGGAGTGGATCTGATGGATCTTCTGCTTTGAGTCCTGGATAATCTCCTGCTTAATTTTCTGGTGATGGTGATTTCTTTAGTCGGCGATTCTGGGTTGTCGTCTACACAATTAATTGGTATTACTGCTTGGATTTCTTCAGTAGTTGAAATCGTTATGTTGCCGTTGGATAGGAGGTCGTCCTTGATCGAAGGTGCGGAATTTAAATTCTTTCTAATTGCCGTTATTTCCGGTAAGAAATTTTGAAGATCCACGACCGATCTGCTTTTAGAACGGTACTCAGCCAAAGGCCTGGCTTGTTCGGTGAACAATGACTCTCTAGAACCGGATATACTGAACCTCTGGATTTGTTCTCTTTTTGGTGTTTCAACTTTAGAAGATTTAGAAGGAGATGAATTAGTTGGTGGAAGTGTGGGTTCTTCATTAGGTACTGTTGTTTCAGCTGAACTTGCCGATAAATTTCTCTGTTAAATAAAAATGAATTACTACCTGTAACCAAATCCTTGAAAATCTTATACCTTAACAAATTCACCGGCATTATCGGTGGTATCTTCTTCCTCAATATTATTGTTGTTGGTTTCTTTATCATCGTCTTTATCATCGGATTCTGATGTCCTATCGACGCTGTCTAATTTTACAAACGCTTTTTTACTATCTGGAGGAGGAGTGAAATATCCTGATGATTCCGATCCCGAAGATTGAGGAGGTGGAGGTAAAACGTTGCTAGTCTTCTCAGGACTGCTTCTTGGAGATGAGCGGGTGATTATGGGAGTACTTGGGACACTTCCTAGTGCTGACCTGTAATGGAGATATCATTGATGTGCGTGTACAAAGTATTTCGTCCGTCCATTGATTTTTTACAGTGTGATTTATTATTCATGTGATAGGTAGGTATAATAAATTTTTAACCACTTATAAATATGGGAAAACGCTGGTAAAAATAGTAATGATTAGAAGGTAAGTGAACATTTCGATTTATGGGAATTTATTGATTAGTTGTCACCGAAAATACGATGAAGCTTTTCAGAATCGGAAAACAAGACTTTATGTTTTGCATCATTGATTTACTTATTATAAAGCATTATTTATATTGGATGCCTACAAATAAAAATATATTTCAAGGATAAATCGCGAATCTATAAATCGATAAAATGATGAACTCTAATCGTATATTAATTTTGTTTGGGTACAGGGCGAAATAGCTCAAGGTCGAATCTTAGAGGGGTGCAGATATTTAATTAGTGCTATTTTGACTCTTAAGTTTACGAGATGTTAAAAATAAACCCTAAAAAAAGTGATGAATAATATAGGCCTTGTATTTTCACGTAGGTGGTAAATATACGACACACAATCAAGATTTCTTTTTCTGATAGTACAGCGGTGTCATAAATAAAAGCTAACGGGAGTAATGATGTTAGAGATATACAATATCGATCTTAATTCCTGCTAAGACCCGAGTATCCAATGCAAATTTTTACATGAGCCTATTTACATTTAGGTCATATAATTGCCCGGTTTTCTTTCTATTCTAAAAACATTCCCCGTGAATATCGATTTTCCTTTTCAGAATTCCTTCATCGATTCTTGGTATTGTGTAAGGCTATTTCACTTCGAGAAATAATTAATTCCAGACTACTCTCGAAGCAATTCAAATTACAAAAAATATATTTCGAACTATACTTTGTTCTTCAGGAATTCTACTTTCGACAGGATAATTGAATTGCTTGGTGTTCACGGTTGCAGAGTTATTGATTATTTAATTATTTATAAAGTAAACATTACTAAAAAGCATGTCTATACTTGTTTATATGTACTTAAGGCAGTGACGTCACTGGTCAATGAGAACTCTCATTGGCTAGTAATAATAATGAAAGACAATCGAGGACTGTGATTGGTTGAACTCAGTGACGTCACTGCCAAAAATTAGGACTTTTAGGTATACGTAAATTATTGGTCGAGACGAATGCAGAGAATCTAACAGAGAATATACGATGAAAATAAAAATGTAAGTAATTACATATCTGTAACTAAAGCATATAAATTTTAATACACTTTTTTTAATCAAGTCTCTCCTCATTTATTTAATTAAATAAACAGGTAGATATTTTGCGTGCAAAGTTCTCCAAATTATATATTTACAACGATTGTAGTTCATATATGCTTATTCAAACATATTATCGTCTGACAAGAAGCGTGATTACCATTTGTAAGGGAATTGATAGCATTAAATACAAACAATTCGAAGCGTTTTGACCGCGCATTATAGTTCAAATGTCCCGAAAAGGCTATTGCCATTTGCGTGATGAAAACTATGTGACAACATTCAGTAACTGTAACGAACATGAATTATGAATTTTACATGAGACTAATGTACCAGGATTCAAATGAACCAGTTAATCTTAAAACAGTGAATTGTTGTTTGAAAATTTCATCCAAAAAATCTTTTAAGAATCCAAAATTTGGTTTATCTATTTATCTATCTTATTTCACACAAACTAAGGGTAAATATTACCCTACTTGCAGCTACAAGATTGCCCCATTTTTCCTACTTTAACTCATTCTGAGTTCTTAAACTTACTTAAATTCAGCTTCAGGAGGCAACGTGATTGTCAATATAGGCGTGCTGTTATCCTTGATAGCCGATAAAGGAAAATCCGCCACCTTGCGAAACAGGCAAGGGCAACACTTGGCGATTATCCTGCTGATCGGCGGATTTTCCCTCAAACCCCACGGATTCGGCACGTTGTTGTTGTTGCACATTTTCACCGAGGCCGGGCGACTGACAGACAGGGGAATAGGTATGTGAGGTGGAAAAAGCGGGGGGCAGGTTGATTGGTAAATGACCGGCGCGCTGACCCTTCGCAGGGCCAGGCGTCGCGGCGGACTGGGAACTATGCGTAGTTGGAAGGGCCTTCGTGCGAGCTACAAGTATAATGGGGTTACGCGACTAGTTTTTAACCTAAAAGGATACTTTTCTTTGTGAATTGTAAGACTCGATTGCTTTGAAAGTGGTCTGTAATTAATTAATAAGTGGCTCAAAATTTAGGTACGAGGCTTCGTTTGAAATTTAGGCCACAGGTTTTTTTTTTCTAGCGTTTCGGATTTCTTTTGTAGAACCTCAAATTATTTAATTAGTAATAATTGTCTTCGTTTATCGTAAACATTAATTAGCTTTTATTGTTGTTATTTTCATATCAACTGCGGGTAAAATTTAAATTAAAAAACTACGGGTAATAATAACGGAAGAGAATACATTTATAACGTTTAATAAACTGTCACGTGGAAATTTGTGCAACGAATCTAGTTGAAAGCAATTTACTGCATTATTAATTTCTAGACGTTCAATTTCACTGCCGGTTTGGTTCAGATAAAACATAATAATACTTTCTTATTATATGTGCTACTTTTGTCTTTTATAATAGTAGATAATTCATTAACAATTAAAGAAAGCTAGATGTTTTAGGACCGATATCATAATGAAGAGTTAAAAAGTATTCTTTAACAAAAGGAAGCTTTAAAGTGACCTTTATACATGTATTGCAAATGTCGGTATATTTTGAAAAATGTATATGGCATTGGAGTTTGTCTGAGATTGTTCTTGATTATAAAGTTTGTTGAAGATAGATAGAAATTTCGAAAAATAATAAGGCTCTCTATTCAAATTCTAGTAGAGGAATGAAATTATGTTTGCTTTAAGAAATTGAAAAAATAAAGCATATAATAAAGAATGTAAAGCTACAAAAACTAAGTAGCTAATTAAGAACATATCATTTGCTGCCAGAGGTACCAAACTGTTTCTTTTATTTTTAACGAAATCTGGTAAAAGTCTAGCTCGTCGTAGTTTTGAAAATAATCCCTTTTTACCATTAGAATTTTGCTCTTCTAATATAAATAGATAGTGAAGAGTAACATTTTTGAAAGAATAGAAAATATTAGAGAACATTTCGTACACTTTTAAATCCTTATTAACTTCATAACTGATTAATACGTGTAGATATATACAACATACCTTCTTGCAATTATCGGTCCCGATGAAGTGCTGTTACTCGATGTTCCATTAGACCTGAATCGAAATTTCGTCTCTGAAGAAATAGGCACCGGTATACCCGATCTCATTTCTTTATACCAATTCCCACTTTTCGAGGAAGAACCTAAAACAGACGCTAACATTAAATGCTTGATAATACACGAAAATATATTTACTACACACCAGTCGAAGTGGTAGAAGATCGACTGGACAACGAAAACGAATGCAATTCCTGGTGATCTCTGTCTTTAACGAATAGCTGCTCTGAGGAGAAGCTTTTCCTGACGCCCTCCTTGCATTTGCCAGCAGCTTTGGGGGCTGAAGTTAAGGGTTGAGCGTCGGATGCTGCGACGTATGACGACAGGGATCGCTTGTGATTCGGTTTGGGCGGCGAAAAGGACCTGCCCCTGTCGTAGCGGCGGTATCCTCTGCCCGAATCCGTCGCCGCCTCCGGCTGAAGAATGTACACTGGCCGTAAAACCGGAGGGTTTGCTGAAAACATGATGAATAAGAAGACTTTTTTTATACTATTCGATAAATTTTATTTATTGCGGTATTAAAAAGTTTGGGTTTGGATAACGATACATTGAAAATCGTTAGAGCATGATCCAAATTGTGATGTCAAATGTTCCAGATAGAGGTCAATTACTTTGAAGTACTAAATTATTCCGTGGATTTAAGAATAGTTCCGAAAAAAGGTTCCATGGAAACCGGACATTCAGTAAATACACACTTTTTCGGCGAATAAATTAAAAATGATTAAATAATGTTTCATTTGAATTCGTTAGAATTGTCTGTGCATGTATCTCTTAGTTAAATAAGTTACATTCACATAACGTGTTATCTGTTTACTATTATAAAACTTCAGTAAAAGTTACTGCAAAGGAAGTAAGAACAATCTTAAATAAGAAAAACTAGAACCAAATAATTAAAATGAATTAAATAGAGGAAAGCAAGTCATTATAAATAAAGAAAAACTACAAAATATTAAATTATTAGTACCTGTTTTATTATTTTCCCTGAGGAATCCATTTTTGTGGAAGACAACAGGATCAACTGCCCAAACTTGCTGCCTATCACTACTGCTATCATCCTAAAAAAATACTTAAAATACTTAAAATATCGACACTAAACCATTCCCGACACCACCACAAAGAAACCCAAAAACCACTGAACGATTACTCAAACAAAATACCATACCACAACAAAATTATTCAAAGACACTGGTTTCAACTGGAACAATCTACAAAGCAGCATTTCGAACTGTTCTGCTGTAACCGGCATAAAATATCCTCAAAACACCACGCATAAAGAAAGCGTAGGAGAAATTCTAACGGTGCGGGCTTTGGTAAATCGATACGTCAAGTTGCCAGGTTTACCGTCCTTTCGATGACATTGCATGATCAACAGTTAGTGACGTCACTAGAATTTTTCCGGACAGTTTTCCCCGGTTGATTTTTATAACATGCGCAGTGGTTGTCATATAGCACAGGAAATAAAAATAGTCCAGTTAATTGAGAAGTTTATAGTAAACTGTACCTTGGTATAAGTAATGGAAGATTCTACGATGTCCTCGTGTCTGGAATTGCGCTTCCAATAGTTAATGGAATTGTTGGAAGAAGATGCCGATGATGATACCGAATGATTAGGTTCTATATTATTTTTTCCGGATAGCCATTCCAATTCAGTTTGATCTCTAGGCGTGGAATATCGAACAGTACCGTCTGATTCCACCACTGGTAGTTGTCGACGCGACAATCTTAAAATATGAAAATTTATTAAATTAAAGAAGTTAGAACCTGTTAAAGGCACTTTGAACTTAATTTTATTGCACGAAATAATTTTGCTAGATCGTTAACTCGTTTTCGAGAAACTAATAAAGAGCGGTTTTTGCCAGACAAAAATTTCCATTTTTGTCACGCACTGTTTAACCACGTCAGGACTTTTGTCCAGTTAGAATTTAGCCGTGTCGTGTCGGGGTCTAATTAACGAAGGGGACCGTTGGTTTCTTGACCTCAATAGCTCAAATAACGCGCACTCTTGGAGAATATAGTGAAAATTGCGGCACCTCCTTTAGGATTTTGGATTAGCACATACCTTGTTCTAATGACGCGAAGTAAATATTGGTGATCCGGGGATGCTTTGGTTACTCTTTCCACGATTTCCAGTATTTCTGCGTTGGATCTAAGCTGAGCTAAAGTGGCTAGTGTTTCCAGAGCTGCGTGACGTACTCTTCTCCTGCGGTCTCTTAGTGTAGCAGAAGCAAATTCAGCCATTTTTGTCACCTCTATGTCGCTACTTGGAAGCAATCTAGCCGAAGCCATTAGTACTTGTAGAGCTCCTAATAAAATATATTATACATTTTTTAAATTTATTTAAAAAAATTGAATCGTACCTTCTCTGGTTTTGTGTGCAAAACATCTGTCCATTATTTCTCCCAATAGGTTCTTTGGGCAACATTTTTTCATCAACAACAATGCCAAATTAATCCCAGTAGGAGCTCCTAAAGTACATATACCGATACTGAGTCTGCCCAGACACTGATCCAGGACTTCTTTTCTAACACCTCTGATCATAAGACCCATAGCATCCTAAAATCACAAAAAAATAATGTCTATTGATTGGAATTGTTATAGAAAAAATTACCTCTGCGAGGAAATGTAGCTTATCAAGGTGTTGACAAGCGAACAAAGCTTCGAAGAGCAAAGCAGCAGGTCCAGGTTCTAAATTTTCTAAAGTGTTCGGTTGTTTCAACATTTTCACCAGATTGTCCAAGGCTTCGGATCTGCTCAAAGAGCTTTCCTGAAAGAATTCTGTGTAGTTTTATGGAGTAATCGACGTAACCTAAATAGTCTGCGCATTAAAAGAAATGTTGCTTTAAAATTACCTATTCCTACAGGGTGGCACATTAGTAAGGAAAAGCGCAATATATCTGTAGGTATAGTTGTTAGTGTCGATGATATAAAAAAAAGCTTTTTCACAAAAGTTGTAGATACTTTTATGCGCTGCATACTTTTTTACAAATATGCTTTGCACAATATTGCAAATATCGTGAAAATTTACAAAATTTTAATCATACTGCTTACGGGGTGATCCAAATACAAAAGTAATATTTTCTCTGTTATAATGTAATTATAACCAATTTTAAAATATGCTGCACAAAAATACCTTTTGTGAAATTTTTTTTTGATATCTACAGTAACAGATCTGATATTTTGAGTTTCTTCCATACTAATGTGCTACCGTGTACATATATCATAGTTGATCGAACTTGCTTCGTGAAAAATTAAATGTAATTGTTTCTTAAAATATTTAAGCGATAAAAGTGTTATGAGTGACGGGATAATCAACATTACGCAAACATAAATAATGATAAGAATGACTAGTAATTTTTCTGCTGTGAAGTTGAAATCATTAATCTCACTTTCGGCAATTACGGTGGAGTTTTCTAGTCCAGACCAATTTCTGCGAATGTGATATCGTTATCAATCACACGAAAACTATTCAATTAATAATAAAACAACGACGAAATCTGGAACAATTCCATAGCGGCATTCATTAGGGTTCAGTTAGAATGTACCCACACGCAATAGGCCAGTCTACGATATGAAATTTTGATGATTCTCACACAAAAAATGCTCCCTTAAGCCTTGTTAAACCACATGTTGAGAATGATAATTTACCTTTGATTTGTTGATTAAATCTATTGAAACTCACAGATTGCATTGAACTGTTTTTGAGAAAACAACTACATGAGACTGTACTAAAAGTTCCTAGGATGTGGTCGATGGAAGTGGCATGTCTTGATTTACTTGCCCCGTTTTAATGAAAAACTAGGTCAAACGACCTAATATGAAAATAAGTATCGGGGAAGCGGTGTACCCCCCGGTGTATAAATTTTTTTGCTCGATAGCGAATCGAACTCGGCCAAAATTACGATAATAATTGAGCGAAAAATACCAGCAAAGGTTGAAGTCGATTTTCTAAACCTTGACTAAAGGGAATAAAAGGGGTCATGGTGCAGTGAATTCGGGTGTTTTACTAATCGACTGTATTTACAGGGTGTCGCAAACCTACTGTTTTTATATTAGGTATATAAATATTAAGAAGGAATATGATTTTCACTTTTTAAGTACTGACCTGCTAGTGACCTGAAACGGTTGCGAGATATTTGCATTTTCCATCTTACGTGACTGAAAATATTAAATGACGGACGTGGCGAATAAAAAAACGCGTTTAATGAGCAAAAATGTTTTGATGGTGAATTGCCATAACAATGTTTTAGGCCAGCTTAGTAATCGTTATATTTCTCCGAATAAAAATGTATTTGCTGTTTTTTATTTGTGTTAACCAAACCAGTAGTTAGTAAATCGTTAATATCGCCCATACGAGTACAATGCTTACATAATGGATTACTTTTGATCTAAATTGCTTAATGGAATTTGGTAAAATAAAATTATTAATTCACTTACTTCTGAATTAAAGGAAGAATTGTGCCATTGTTGGAATAAATCAAATCCTCCGTTTTGTTTCTTCTTGGTATCTAAATTTTCATCTCTACTCGAATATTCACTATCATTAGGACAAACTTTGAAACTGTCATATTCATTAATTTTCTCGTTCGAAGAAGATATTTTAGAATCAGACGAAAGTTGGTTGGTTTTTTCTGCAGACATATCTGATTTACCCATTGAATTTCTAACATCTTCAGGAGGTGGAAGAGCCAAAATTTTATTCTCATTTGTGTTATTTGTTGTGCTTTCTATAGAAATGTCTTCATTAGATGTGGAATCGGGAAACAATTTAAAACTATTAAACGTGCTAATGTTATTGGAAGTCGAATTTTCCATTTTCCTCTGCATAACGGGACTTCGGGTTAAGTTATGGAACACTTCGATTTCTTTATGGGGCGATGAGGGTGATGTTTTGGGCTCCAAAGTTACCGAATTCCTGCGTGAATTCAATTTTGGAACCACCAAATTGTCCATCAATGTATCTACAAAAATAAAATTTAAATTCATGCAGTAGATGTGTACTAAACTCACCTTTTCCTTCGTTAATTTTGAACTTCTCGATTAAATTAGAATCCCTCTTGAGCGGTAATTTGGTTTTATGGAAGCTCCTATTCAGATTCGGAGCGGATCTGTGCAATCTATTCTTAACAATATTATTAGAAGAGCGAAGTGGAGTCGTCGGTAACGATTTTATCCGTATGGGTATTAGACTTTTCCTGGTCGTAATCGATAGGGCATCGCTAACGGTAATTCTGAGCGTGCTCTTGGCGTCGCTTTGATTGCTGCTATCGCTCTCCGGCGTCCGGAGTTTCACGGATTCCCCGCCGAATCTGACCTTACGCGGCGTTCGCCGGGCCACCTCCTCGAAGTCGCTCTCGCTGTCGTCGCGGAGGATTTTCAAAACGCCGTGTTTCGAGTGGTCGTCGACGACGCTGCTCGGCCGGCTCTCCTCGTGGATTTTCATGGTTATGGCCGGGCCGGTTTTCAGCGTGATTTCGGTCTCCAGGATGACTTTGTCTTCTATCGAATCTTCATCGCTCCATAGTTTTTCGTTGTCGCTGTAGTCGATTGGAAGATCGTAAATTTCGCAGATTTCCTCGAGGTGGAGGTGGCGGTTGGTGCCTAAGAAGTTCTTAAATTTTTCGTTTCCTATGTTAAATCTGAAACAGAAAAATTTAATTGTGTGTAAGTTGAAGCTTTTGTGTTATTATACCTTAATCTTGCTAAAGCTTTTGCTGCGTCTTGTGTCACGTTAGGATTCTCCAGGTCTTTCCATAGCTCCTCCACGACAAATTTAACAGTTTTATCGTCTGTTTGTGGGTTGATTAGAAAGGGAGCGATGCTGGTGAAGTGCTCGGTCGATGGGAGCAGCTCCTTCATCAGGTAGTTGTAATTAGCGCTGAATTTCGAGTATTTTTTCAATGAATCCAAAGCGCTCTTCCTCAGCGAGGGCGAAGAGTGCCCCAGGTTACTCAGCACATTAGGAAGAATGTTGCGCATCTGAGCGTCCAGATTCGATTGCTTGGTGACGGGAATGAGGTCCATAAGCACCCGTAAAGCATGCTGTCTCACCTCGCGTTCGGGTTCGCAGAGCTTTTCCCGCACTAAATCATAAAGGAACGTTTCGTCCACTCCGACTGGAATTAAAAATTTATGGAGCTTTCAAAATTTGACTCTTGTAGGTGTTATAAGCTTTAAATGAAGGAGGAATCAAGGCGGAAAGTCAGTAGTAATTGTGTTTATATTCCGCTATTTTTAGAAGCAAAGCTTGTTCTTCAACGGTGGCTAATTAAATTTAAAATTTAAACGTAATTGGCATATTTATTTTTAATGAAGTGTTTCTATTTAATTGTGCATTTATAATTCATTCTACATCAGTTATCAGGCATGTGAGTGTGTATGCAATTTGCTGTAGATACAAGTATAGAATACGAGGTGACTTCGATATATTGAATTGAATATATCTACAGGGTATGTCTGCTGCGATATGGTTATATATAGAAAAAAAGACATAATAGGTTAACATTGTTGGAGTAGATGCATTGTTAGATTTTACCAATTACATGACGTGTAATGAGGTTTATTAATCAGTATTAATCAGTTTTCTAAAAGTACTAAATAGTTCTGACAAGCGCTCTAAATGGTCCTGGACTTATTTATCCTGGGCAGATCCTGATAGCCCTGAATCAGTTCTACCTACATGATTTTAGGCAGTTTTAAATATTTCTAAGATCGTCTACACTATTTCAAATGATCCTAATCCATTCTAAAATGGTTATAAATGATACTAAACAGTTCTAAATAGTTTTGAACAGTTCTAAATAGTTTTTTGAACAGTTCTAAATAGTTTTTTGAACAGTTCTAAATAGTTTTGAGCTATTCTAAATGATCTTGATAACTTCTAACTGCTACAGAACAGTTCTAAATGATTCTAAAATTGTCCTGAACAACTTGAGAGCATGATCAACCACACTTATTCAACGGCATCTCTCTCCCTCTCGCGCGATATTACAATCTCTCTCTTTCGCACTTGTGTTATTCCTATTTCCACATTACCGGGGAACCACCGGGTGTACAAAAAATTAACAATATTTACTTACTTGGAAGATTTTTTGTGCGAACTATAGTTTCCCACAACCTCGTTAAAGAAGGTTTCTTCTCACACACAGCTGTCATCGACGGATTTTCCTAATTATTTTCATCACCCGGTATATTTCATAATCCAGCATATTATAAAGTTCACGTATTTAGTCTTTTTACAACACAAAACATTTAATTAATTAAGGCATCTTAATCAAATCATTTACATCTTCCCCAAATTAGTACCAACTAACTGAGAAATACAACATAGTACCAATTAAAAAATTCTAATGTAGCCTTCCTAAGAAATTTTTGAATATCATATTAAGCATGTGCGATAACGATACACCTGTATGAACTTCCACCGGAACGTTCGGAGTTTTGCGCGTTACTGGGACTTTGTATAATGAGGGAGTTTCTGTTTCGTGTGCCGAACAATGTTGAGAACGGCTTTGTGGCTTTGTGGCGCATACTATAGGGTGATACGATCTTCTCGACCTCCTTTCCGAACGGCACTAAGAAATTGAGATAAGCGTCGTTATTTCATACGTTGTTTTTTATCTTTCTAATCGAGAAACTTTTAATTGATTCTTTCTAACTATAGCCTAAGGGAAAAAGTATCCAGTGGCAGTTTTTTTACCGGTTTGTTTCAAAGTTTCAGGTATAGTTTAACCAAGATATTCAGGCATCTTCAGCAATTAGGTGAGAAATGAATAATGAATGTTAAAAATTCGATTGGAGTAGGTATACAATTTTTTGAATCGTTTTATATTTTTGGAATCGGGGAAAATTCATTCATATATCAATGATACTTTGTAAACATTAACCGACACAACTTTGACTGAATTTGAATGAATATCATTAAAAATTAAAAGAATACAAATTAAAATTAAATATGAGTATAAAAAATGAAAATGAATTAATTTATTAGTAATTTGCAGCATTCAGAAAAATTCTACCCCAATTGGTCAAATAAGTCATTAAAGGTTTAAATTTAACAGGGACCTATATTTCGTTTTTCAAAGATTTTAAAAGAAATCACTAGAGTGTGCCATAGCATTGGAATTATCACAGAACATGAACTATAAAATTATTTATGTTCTGTGCTCAAAAACATGTAGCGCCACCTGATAATTATTAGTGGAACTGTCATTGACGCAAATGAAGAAATCTGTATAGTGACATTTGGGTGGTCTTGTCTGTATTAAGTATTTTGACACGCAAAGAAAAAATTAAAATTTGTCGATTGAGATAAAAAATATTATAGATACAGGGTGGCCCAGAACTCTAGCCTCACCGGGAAATGCCTTATTAAAACGATAATGGAGATGCCAAAACTGCAACCGAACCGAAAACATGAAAAAGTTATTCCCATAGACAAAATAAAAGACATCTTTCTTTCTCTATGATTATTCCTTTGGTAAATAAAGAGGTTTAAAATAGACCAATCCCAGTAGCAGTTCACAAATGCAAGAATGACATGAATTAGCAGCTTTACACGAATTTGACATTATTGAAAGATTCTAAGTTCTTTTCACTTTCAAGGTTAACAAAAGCTGCCAAAATCAGCTGCGACTATTGATCAAAGAATTGCTTCCAAATCGATCATTCATGATTTCTGTCGTGCTGATACCCAATCTACAGAATTTCCTATTGTTTCAAATGTGGTCCGAATCGAATGACCGATTTTTTGATCAATTTGGAAGCAAATCTTTGATCAATAGTCGCAGCTGATTTTCGCAGCTTTTGTTAACCTTGAAAGTGAAGAGGACATGTAGAATCTTTCAATAATTTAATTGGTCTATAGCTCATTCACATGATTTTCGTGGATTCGAACTGCTACTGGGATTGGTGGTCGATTTTAAACCTCTTTATTTACCAATGGAAAAACTTTTTCCTGCCTTGTCTGCAGTTTTGGCATCTCCATTGTCGTTTCTATAAGACCTTTCCCGGTGGGGCGTGAGTTCTGGACCACCTTGTATATTAGTTCGATTTAGTAGTTACTAAACGACTATTTCTACTATCTAAAACTGAATAAAACTGAATAAAATTCCCTCAATAAATCTAGTTGAATGACTCCAGTTATTGGTTATTAATTTTATTATTTTCAATTTGGACCAAAAGTTATATTCACTATAAAAAACTGTATGAATTTAATTGCACCTGATACACAAAAGTGAATATTTATCAATAGAAAATAATTTTTTTATCGAACAGCGATGAAAATTGCATAATTAAAACGTGCGATTCCCCGATTCGAATAGACAATAGCCAGTATCTCGCACGTCTCGAAAGGTTTTTACGGTCCGTTTAGCAGTTTAGCAACAAAGCCCGAATATCCCAAGGAAGAAAATCACAATCGCACATTATATAAAAATAAATATAATAACATCTAATCCGTTACATCTGTTAGCCGAAGCACTATAACAATATAACAATGATTTTTAATTCAGCCACATACATCAGTGAACTCGAAAAGAAAAAAAAGGCTTAAAAAGATTTCGTGGCCGGGACACTTCCTTTCGTGTCAACGTGTCACCGTGAGGCCAGACGCAGGAACCTCGTAAATACCACAAATGACTATCCATCAGCCCGAACAATCACCTTTCACGAGACGTGTGTTTTTGTATTCTCGCTTTCGAGATATCCCAATCGATCTTATATACCTTTACTTCGTTATTACCACCGTGCGTTACTAATTTATTATACAAATACCAACGTTATCAACGTCTCAATTGACTCCGCTACCATTATTCCACCAACCACTACTTAATTTCCCATTACAACGGCCGCACAATCGGCTAATATCCCGCTCGTGGGAGAGCGCAAGGCGAAAGAGAAATCGCACACAATGCGAGCGGTAATTGGGGCTGTGTCTGGGGCGATTAGAGGGTGCTGGGCGCGCATTGTGCCGCCGCATTTGTTTAAAAAACAGGCGATGCTCGGGTTACCGAGCATTCAAAACTACTCGTTTCGAGCATTGAAATCTCCAGGCGACGCCCGAGGAAGGATAAGGAAAAACGTACGAACGTTTATTATGTGGAGCGAAGGCGGAAGGACTCAAAGGAGACGAAGGAGAATATGTCGGGCTTGTTCTCATCTGTTCAGCTTCTTATTACGTTAATCTGGTTGATTCAATTTAAATTAGCGCTGATGTAAGTTTATTAAGTGTTAGTTTACAAGTAAATCTGGAGTGAATGGTTGGATACAAATATGACTTCAAAATTGTTTGGAATCATGTTGTGAGGTTTTAATAAATGGATAACTAGATAGATAAATAGAAGATTAGTAATTTAAAAATAACCTGTTAATGACATAGGTATTAATTTTCCACAAAGAAATGGAAGGTATGTTTGAAAGAAGAGTTTACATAACCAAAACCGTATGTTCATAATTTTCCAAAATATTTTCACAATTTTGCACGAAGATATGGGAGAGAAATATGTAATAGCAGTTAACAGAGCAATATTAGAGTGATATTTGTTCATAAATTTACAGGAAGAGGTGGAATATAAATTTGAAAAAGGAGTTACCAAAGCAATGTTAGAGTGACATGTTCACAATTTTTGACGAATATATGGACAAGAAATTTGAAAGAGGAATATTAGAGTGATATGTGTTCATAAATATGCAGGAAGAGATGGAATAGAAATTTGAAAGAGAAGTTAACAGAGCAATATTAGAGTGACTGGTTTTCAATTTTGCACGAAAATGTGAAATAGAAATTTGAAAAAGTAGTTATAACAGAGCAATATTAGAGTGAACGGTTCTCAATTTTGCACGAAGATATGGAATACACATTTGAAAAAGAAGATAACAGAACAATATTAAAGTGACGTGTTCACAATTTTGCACGAAGATATGGAAAGGAAATTAGAAAAAGGAGTTAACAGAGCAATATTAGTGTGACTTGTTCACAATTTTACACGAAGATATGGAAGAGAAATTTGTAAGAGAATCTAACAGAGCAATAGTAGAGTGATAGGTTCCCAATTTTACATGAAGATATAGGAAAGAAATTTGAAAGAGGAATTAACAGAGCAATATTAGAGAGACTTGTTTACAAATTTGCACGAAGATATGGAATAGACATTTGAAAGAGAAGATAATATTCCATGAAAATATAGAAGCTTAAAAGAGAAGTTAACACAGCAATTTTTGAATGTCATGTTTATAGTTTTCAACAAAAATATGGAACGGAAATCCGAATGAGTAGTTAATATAGCAATATTACACAAACATGTTCATATAATATTTCCACCAAGGTAAAGAAGAGGAATGTGAAACAGGCTAACAGAACAATATTTTTCTATGAAAGTTCGTAGGAAGAGCATCATTTAAAACAGGTGTTAAATCATATCTACTATTATACAGATCAACCTCTTAATTACCTCTTTTTTCCTAACAAAAAAATCCACATTAATGCATCAGTCAATAAATCCAATCGAATCCACTTTACAAAACGAGCTCGTTTCATCTTCCTTCGCGGCTCGTTTTTCTATTTTTGTGGCGGAGAAACAAATAAGTGCTCCGGTGCGACCGCGGGACCGGAAAGGCGTCCATGTTAATAGAGCGATATAGCGAGGTTTTTGTTAATCACATTTACATGTCGAGACGGCCATCATGCCACACCTTTCGGATCCCCTACCACTCACTGAAGTAGTCCAACTCCTTCACCGGGCTTCTTCCAAGTTTACAATCGACTAATTTTACATAAAAAAAAGATGATTGAATTAGATTGATAGAAGTTAAAAGGCGCTTAATGATTTTTTATTAGATATACATGCAAGGGTAGAATTGCCTTAGGTATACCAGTTTCTATTCGAATAATGTTAATCGGATTTTCGAAATGTTTAAAATCATCGAAGTTAACAAGTGTACACTCATTAATCCGAAGAATTGTAGCAGCATCCAGTCAAACTGTAACTTATTAACATTAACAGTTCCAGCATAAGCATAATGCACAGTCATGGAATACAACAACCGATAACACAACAGTCGATTATCTCGGGCTACCTCTTCATTAATTCGCCGCGGACGCTTCACCGCCATGTAATTAAGTATTTTTATTTTTAACCGGTGAAAATTATACAGGGCGCCCGCGGAAATATCGACTAATGTACTAAACTTAAACAAAATTTCTCATAACTCTTTTTGTGTATAACTTTTATACTTTTAGAAATAAAAGTTTCATGAGCCGTGTAACAGGTACAAATTACCCATTTTCGTTGATAATAATTTAATTTTAACAAATCCAAATTACGTACAGTTCAGTTTCATATCCAATTTCCCGATCGGGCTGATAAAGAATTCTTTCGAATCGCCGTCGTGATCAATTTTATGAATAATGGAA